AGTGAAAAAAAATGCCGTATCAGTACTCTCGTATCTAAAATAAGGCATTCTAAGAGTGAAGTCAATCCAAAGGTCATTGCACTGGTAGCCCGTTTACGCAGTACAGACAAACCCTGGAAGGCCGTAGGACTTTGTATGTTACCAGCGACAGTAACTTCAACGCCCACTTGATCTTTTCCAGCAGGCCGCCTTCCCATTATAGAAAAAGCAAGAGGAGTTAAAGAGATATTGGTTTGTTGATAGAGCTAAGCAGGACAAAGCATGTAGCGCCGCTTTTCCAGCCAGAGAAAAGGCTGCAGGCAGGCAGGCAGGCAAGTGTATGTAACAGTGTATACCGCAACATACCTTGCCAAGCTGCATTACATTGTAATAACTAACAACTAATGATAGGAAAAACCGTAGAAAGCGAATTGGATGACATCTCTGGTGTCTAGTAGACGCGTATAGAACAATATAATGTGGTTGTTGCATACAAATAAGAAAGTACAAGTAGCTGCCATGGATCATAAGAAAGTGTGCAGTTGTCCAGCGATCTGACCGATCCTCTTTTTATTCTGCTTGTAGCCATTTGGCTAGCAGTATAAATAAGTCCGCTGATATGTCCTTATGTGGTAAGCAATCTAAATAGTTGCGATGGTCATACATTGCTAACTGTTCAATTAACAGACGCGGCACAGATGTTTGCTATAAAATGGGGAAAAAAGTTCAAGAGGAAGGGAGGTATCATTGCGCGAAGTGCCAAAGATATATACAAAGGTATTATGTTTTTGGAATAGAAAACCGCAGGCAATGAATGAATCATACCTTTTGTAAATGAATCTTCATTACATTGAATTGATTCACTATAATAATTCACGGTTTATATTATTTCCATTATGAATATCGCACGAGGCTCGAGTTCGGTAGTGGAGCTAAACATAAGTCAGCTTGAAACTTCAAAATTTTGAATCGCTACAGCCAGTCGGGACCATGGGGGCACACTAACAAGGACGGCGATAGCGTCTGCTGGTATTGTAAATATCCTACCTCTAAAAAAAAACCAGCCGTCTCTCTTTCTCTCTAGAAAGTTGCCGGGACAGCGGCAACTATGCTACATTATGGCCTTGCCTCTGTTGGTCTCTTGACATTTTGTATTAGCTGGCACTTTCCTATAGCATCTATATCGTTAATACAACTACATCATGCGATTACATCGTGCACGAATGGAAAGTCAATGAGTGTACGCGGTGAAGCGGAATCTCGCTTGGTGACCCCAATATCCAGTTCGGGGAAAGGATTCGACACGAATAATTCAATGCAGTGAGCAGAGGAGAGTCGAGTTGACCCAAATGAAACTAGCTTAACTAGTAGGCCAAGTCAGGCGTGGGCACACTAAGCTTCACCTTGACGTGACTTCTTTGTGAAAAACGAAGAAAAATACAAAAAGTATTAGGAACACCTTCCCCTGCTCGTTTCTCATAACTCCGACCACTCGACATTTGGAGCTTTCCCTCGCGTTGTTGGATCTTGCTAGAAATTGTCGTAACAATTCACTATTGTTTATTCAGCCTATAAATACTGTACCTTCGCACATATGACTACATATATAGGATGGTCGAAGAGCTACGCAACTTGTAAATCCATAAGGTTAAATAGGCAAAACGTAACTTAGCGGTACAATACGTAATCGGTCCGAGAAAACTAACGGTTATATCTACCTCTGCGATGGGTACATGTGACATACTTCAATCGAAAACTGACCCGGGGGTTAATTTCTGTAATGAGATCCGAGGGATGATACTCATTTTTCCCTTAGCATGAATGGTTCAGCCCAGAAACGGCCCGCGCAATACAAAAACAAAATAAATAATAGCAAATTTTTATAGAATCGTCGCTGTTTCATAGTTAAAAAAAAACCCTAAATTATATCTTACCGTTCACAAACATTTTATTTTATTCGATCAGAATCTGTTCATTGCTGTAAGTTGTGCCGACCATGTCTGAAGGAACATGTTGAAGCCTTTAAAAATGTCAAATTGCATTACGCCGTAATGTAGACTAAGATAGACTCAAATGTTCGAATGGTACGGGGCGATAAATAATTTTTGACTGGAAGTATCAAATCATTTGAGATCGATACAAATCCTCGAATCAGCAATGTAGTCCCTTATTTTACCCCGCATAACATATTGGCTGTTTACAGCAAGTGAATATCCTCTTCATATGTGCCATCCCTATCTATTACACCAGCCGATTGTAATTTATAATTATAATATTATCATTAGTGGTGATTTTCGAATATTGAGATACTGAATACTGAAGTATGTGGCCATCTCCGTAACAAGATTACGACCTGTATTTGACTTTTCTCTGCTAGCTGAAAGGCAGCTCTATCAATTTTCCCCGTATCCAACTGTGATACAGCATTCGATATCGTTATCGCTTAATACGCATAAACATGTGTGTAAATTTGTATGGGAAAAACGTTGCGAGCAGCGTGAAGGCATACACATATAAGACGTTTACTTTACACACAGTAGCCACTTAAGCGATACGTAGTCGCTGCTTCACGAATCGAACGCTCTTTTTTTCCGGTAAGGGGGGGGGGGTGTGGGCAGAACAGTCTCTCGTTAAAATATCCACGCTTATTTATCAAAGCTGCAAACCTACAAGACCGCATGGTACATGAAGGCAAACACGTTCTTGATAAGCTTCTGGATATATTTATTATCTTTCTGTGTGTGTTATGAGCAGATGGTCTAGTTTTTATTGGATGAGACGCCATTCTCACGATGTTTTAATGCAATGATCAAACGGTTGATAAAAATGAGTGAGAGACAACAATGTCTCTCACTCATTTTTACATATACATACGTGGGTGTTTTTCCTAAGATACAACATATATGATGTGATATAAGTTTCTATTTATGTCGTATATGAGCTGCCGTTTTTACTTTACAGATAATTCTATTAATCTCATACTTAGAATTGTAATTGTATGTCATCATTACAATAATCTTGTGTTTGGTAATATTATTATTTTGTATATTTGGTAACGCAATTATTTAGTACTTATACTTCATTATGATGTCAATGAAAAAAAACAGTGTGTGAGAAATATAATACAGATCCTTTTTAGATTGTATGTTTGAGCGTAAACAAATGGACGGAAACAACGAACATAGGTTACATTAGGCACAATTTCTAGTACGGCTGTTCGCATAATCAGCCTGCTCTCTTTCATCACTGTTGCCACGATGCTTTTTGCCAGCAGCACAACACGGCCTGACAAAATTCAACAGGAAACAGGGCGGTCCTGCGCAAGCAGCGACGCGAACCAAGACACCAGTGCTACTAATATAACTGCTCGTATTACCGCTGGGTACAATGGTAGTGGACGCCGTTGTAAAAATCTCGCTACATATACACCTAGCAGAAAGGTCGTAACGTAGGCGACAACTAGAGGACCGGACGAGAGCTTTTTTCGAAAGGCAATTACCCACATAATATTTTCTTTCTGCGTCCCGTGGAGCAAGGCGGCACAAACCCAATAGTATAGGCGTTCATATCGACGCATGCTGATGTCATCGCCTGCCAGCAAATTCGCCTAATGTAGAGATGAAGTCACACGTTTTCCCATATGGTCCGTTATTTTTCTTGTCGTTTGGATCCTCCGCACAGTAAAAATGGCTACATTGTTACCCCACAATCACCCCGCCTAGATTATGCCACTGTTGCAGAAACCTTCGTTCTTTCCATGTAATATACAGTAATTCGTATCTTTTCTTCAGCAAAGTGGGTACACGTGCTTGAGTATTTTTACATGCGATGGACTGATGATTCGATGTGGTGGGTTTAGCGCAGATTTTTGCAAAGGGAAAGAAATAGAAGCAGCTAGAAAGCGGCAGAGATATCTAGCCGTTCTAGATGGGATGTAAGGCGTCGATCGACAGGGTTAATTAGTTGGGCGATCATCGAAGCGGTAAAAGTCCATGATGATGGATAGTGAGGGTTCCCTGATTGGTTAGTTGGTCGGTCTAGCTGATACTGCTTTGTAAAGGACGCAGAAGAGTACGTAGCTCGCTAGAGAGTTAACAGTTTAGATTGTACACTGAGAAACGGCGCAGAGAAATAACTGAATCAGCACTACGCAACGCGTCACTGGTCTTGGTTGCATTTTCATCGATCGTCTTACGCTTCATTGGTTGTTTCACACAGTTGTGATTAAACTACTACTGATGAAAATCTGAGACCTGCGGGTGCATGCCAGGGAATGCTACAACAGCTTTTATAAGTTACTGCGTTGCCGGCCGAAGGCAAAATTGAGCTTTTGCGAAATAGACATTGCACAAGGCTGACGAGTGAATCGGATTGACGAAGTGGCCTGACGGACTGTGAAAAGTGTAACAGGATTTTTATAGTATTGTTTTTCTAATATTATAGTCAACAAGGATATTTGAACGTATCTCTATGACTTAGTAGAAGACAGTATTTGTTTTCAATAACTGGAATGCGATGTTGATTTGTAAAGTTGGCATATAAGTCGTCAGGAATGGCTAGAAAGCGGTGTTTTCTTCATATGTAAAGACGGAAATAGCTGCTTTGAGCGTTCAAGCGTTTCAAGAATCGTACTAGTACTTGATTATGTGAAATAATGTGGATTATAAGAGAGTTTGTTGGGAATTTTGATTTTCTGCGCTCTCGGGTACTCGATTACGGTATATGTCGATGTGTGACAAATAGATCACGATCTCATAACTCAAGCAGTGTAGGAAATATATGTGCTTATTGACATATACAAATCACGCAGCGGAATCATTTTCTATAGATGCTAATGACACTCTGTAGAGAATGTTTAAATTGTGGGCACTAATGTTTAAATTGGATTAAATCTACCTAGCGATAATTAATAGCGGTTCAAATGGTTGGCTCTGCAAGTAAAAATTCGCTAATACACATTTCAATATATAAGATTTAAGCTAACAAACTATCTCATTATAAACGTGATTAACTCAATCCTTTAGTACTGAATAGGTAGGTTGAATTCTTCTTATTTATAAAAAACGATTTTTTTTTGCTGTGTATATGCTTTTAAGCCTAATAACTATGCTTTAATCTTCGTCGTCTTTGGATATCGTCGCCCCCTCAGATCACCAAAGCATTGCCTAGCCAGTGAATGAAGGGCTATGTATACATATCACTCAAACATGTAGAGCGTGATTGCCATTACCGAGCCGACATCTGCTGTTAGTTTACTCTTAGTCAACTTTCGCAAAGCTCGTCGTAAGAAGACACCACCCGAAAGGTCAGTAACGGCCTAGCTTGGCCCATGTTTAGATATTTATATGTTGTGTCGTGTGCGGGCGACGATGATGACAACCTCAGGAACGTTCGCCTATTTTTAGCTACTCAATGGCCAACCACCTTTAGGCCACATTCGGGCCGTAGCCAACCTTGTAGGCCTTACAAGACGATTGCTCTTCGATCTCTGGCATGTGTCCAATCATTTTGTCTCCCAACTAATGGTTTCTTTTTTCTGACTTTCCCTCTTTCGTTACCCCAAAAGCATTACGCCCGAGAAGCTAACAGGCAACCCCCAGGAACCTTTCGTGGTTCGCCATCGACATAGGGTGGGATCGGTCAGCCGTGCGACCTAAGCGTTAATTCGGTTGTCCGCTCACGGTGTAACGGCAACGAGTCTCGGGCTACTGCGTCCGTACATCGTTGCCGTTGCCACTTATAAGGGTAAAACGTAAATTATGGGCTCGAACAGAGTTACCTAAAGAGCCAGCCTAGGCAGAAACTTGGCTATTTCCATCCAGCTGTAACTGCTCAAGGGTTACTAAACTGCGCACGACCCTGAAAGAAGTCGGGGACATGGTATTTAGCTGCTATTAGATATATCTATGTATCCATACATATACATCGGCAGCTTTAGCCGCCGCTGTCGCTCTCCAGTCCTAGCGATGCCGAAGTCAGTCGAACTGCCGTTTGATTCTATGGACATGCCCTTTAAGAGTTGCGAAACTTCCACATAGTATCGCGGCATCACCCTGTCCCACTATATATTGTGGTGCGGCCGCAGCGGAACCCTGGCCAGCCGCAGCAAAGATGGCCAACGTAATGGTTTTGGTGTGGTGGTCGTTGTAATGTTTCTCCTTGCAGCGCTAGCTTTCATCAACGAAACGAAATATTGTCAATGCTGTTGCTTGCTGGGCCTCTATAATATTATAATGAGGTGGAGGCCCACACGACGAAGCAAACGGTCTTTCAATATGACGACGCCTCACATAGAGCGCAAAGAAGGCTTCGTCTGAGTGAAAGGACTCCGAGACTAGTAAAGGATAGAAAGATGGAAAATGCTTGGAGCCGGCATCGTTATTGCATGGCTACAAAGGCAATGGTCTACTTCCGCATGATTCTGTCTATCTGTCTTACCTGAGGGAGGCAAATTCACGATTGCTTCTTCTGAGGCTGGCACGCCTTTCGCCTGTATCATTAGAGGGGAATTCGTAGATTCGCTTAAGGAATGAGAAAAGAAACGGCTGTATGCCAGGGCCCCTAGTTGCACTCGGCTAGTAGCCAAAAAAGCTTGAAAAAGAAAAGTCACTTTTTGTTGGCCTCACGACCACGTTTATCCTGTTCCACGGACAGCAATAGCTATCAGTTCAAAAGGCCGAATATTGAATGAACGGGAAAAAGACGGAGAGTCAATACAACACAAAAGATACGCTGTTAGCAGCGTAACGCCGAACACACCTTTAAAACAGCCGATGATTTCTTTCTGAGAGATTCCAGTTTGAATAGACTGAATGCTATGCGAACAATGAAAATGGCATGTTAAGAGTTCTGCCTCAGCTTAGAGACGATAGAGAAACATGCTGCTTTAGAAGGCAAAATCTGAAAGGAAAAGACATGAAAAAGTTAGGAAAATAGAGATGCAAAATGCTTCCTTTCTGTATAGGTAATCAAATTCATTGAAAATCCATCATGTTTTATGTTGAAAACGGATTTTACGTACGCTGTTTCCGTAGAAGTGATAAAAGTTGGATGTGCTTTTTTTATAGTGTATTTGATTGAGGTTTACCTTTGTTTTGTCCGCAGTAATCCGTCTTTAATAAGCAAAAACAGAGATTATTGCAAGGTTGAAAAAAGAAGGTATTCAGAAAGAACATTATCGAAATCAAACAAAGAGGAATGACGACCACATCACACAGCTTAAGTGCTTTTTGAAGATTTTGATCTTCATAGAAACTACATATATTGATAAGATAAACCATCAGGACCGCAATGTAAAATCTGGCGCTTTTTAAAATCTTGTATCAAATATAATTTTTTTTTACGACCTCTTCTGGATCGATAGATTTAACTAACGAATAGAAAATCCGGCGCAAAACTTGCAGAGTATTTTTAGTTCATTTATTTCCATTGCATTATATAACACCCTCTTGATACTAAACCTACGGGTACTTCTTGTGTGCCTATTCATACCGTAACTAATCAAAATGACCAATCCTTGAAAAATGTTAAAAAACTTAAATTTTCGATGCCGTTTTATGGGCGTAAAGTTTGATGGCGACGTGATAATGACGAAACAGGCGAATCTGTAAAAAAATTTTACAAACAATCAAATTGACTAATAAATTTAAAGTTTAACTCCATTAATCGAACGCATCTACATCCTGAATATGAATTATGGGTTTTACATTAAGTGTTTCATTTGTTTCGGCGAATCTCACTGGACAGTCGCCATAATATATTTTCCCTAAGTTTGGTGTTCATCATTTTATTGTTTACTCTATAGGACATTTAAAGCATTCAAGGAGAACGCTTTGTTTTTAACACACCCTTATGCCTTTTTACCTTTCAGGTATTAGCTCTATTCTAGTGGCCGCGATATCTATGGCCTCAGCGGGGGTCGCTCTACCATTTATCGAACATGGCAGGAGACATTGAATGAACACAATCCTTGGCGCCTCAGAAGGCCGTCGGCTTCGAGGCAGTCAGAATAGCTGGACTCAAGCGCCGCACCAGCCGTAAGGTCATTTTTTGTCGGATCTGCGTGGAGTTGCCCACTATGCGTCACCCAGTCTGTCCCACGACCACTATTCTATGAAGCTGTCGCCGACAGAGTTAACGAGCGGAGGTTAGTCGAGCGAACTGTCTCACAGACTGGACAGAAACAATAGTGTGAAGCATATTCCTCTCTACATCCAACGCGCACGTAGTCGAGCCTGACAGGATATTATCGCCGTCGTGGTGAAGGGTAGCCAACCGCTGTCGGTTTCGTCCACGTTAAGGATCTGGGCGATAAGGAATCGGGGATGAGAAAGGTTCTGTGGCTGTTTCTCGCTACGCTGACACTGCTACAGTCTTTGATGCTTCCTTGCTTTGCCATTGTGTATATTCTTGTCCTATGCAGCACACACTGCTACAAAAAAGAAAACGATAATACTGCCTGGTGCTGCGCTGGCCCAGCTACAAACGCGTCTCTTGGGAATAGTAAGAAAGATAGAACGCGTATCCAGTGTATAAGTTATCAGCTCGGAGCCACAGTGTAGGTGGAAACAATGGGAAGTCGCGGCCAATCAACTCCATAGTCTAATCAAATGAGAGGGACAGTCGCCGGAAAATGATCCGCGAAAGATTTCCACCTCGAGCGAGCGATCGAAAATGAACATTATCGGATTTGGCCAAGCACACTTTGAAGGTTGAAGCCGTTTTGAAAAGAGAGAAGGATCTTAGGGAGCGTACTTGATTCAAGAATGGCATCGATTATTGAGAATTAGTGGTGGTTTCAAGCGTCTTTTTTTCTAGTTGCCACTGCAACTTGTAGCACAATATGACGCTGTTTTGTGTATATATTACATAATTAGATGCAAGAAATGCAGTATTGCGATCGCTTACCTTTGTGACGTGGAAATCAATGAAATTGTTTGTGGTATACAGCCATAAATATTTTTATAACCTTTATTTTGTGAAGAATTTCCATTGTAAGTGCAAACCTACGTTTCGAGCGACTATCGGACTTTCAGGACGTGTTGGAAGAAAAAGGCATAGTCGTATGACGAAGAAAAAAGAACAACAAATGTCGTACAGAGTTCAAATGGAGAAAACTAAACTAATATTCAAGTGTCCTCGAAACAGCCATGTGTCAATGTTGTTCGCCATAACAGAACGGAGTTTCAAATGTATCTTCAACCTAAAATACGTATTAGATATGTAACGAGCTGTTATTAAATAACATTAGACAAAACACAACTACGAATGAATCCTGTCTTAGGTTGCCATGCAGTTCTATTATTTTGCAGACCCCTACATATAATAATATAATAATGACATAATATTTCGTCATCGTTCGACTCCTCGCATATCTCGACTTTTTTTTTAATAGCAATTACTTTTTGTACAACTCATTTCCACTAGATATTATCAAAAGCTAACTTTTCCCGTTCTCCCATTCTAGATTAGAAAACACCGCAAGCAGACTAACTCACTATGAGAATCACACAGAACATTTGCTTAATAGTAATAGTTTGTTAGCAAGTTCGCGTCTACTGTTGAAATGGAATGAAAACCTTGTAAATACCTTGCGTTAAGATCACTAAATAACATAATTATGATATTAGTTAAATCTTGAAAGCATGTGACGTTGAGTCAATATGTACTTTTGCACATTACATGATTGTTAATCATTGTATCCATTGTTCTTTGAGCATTTACAATGTTATGATCGTTTTATTTGTTTATTATTTACGCACGTTACATCTCGTTCATTAACCATACGAGACAAACATCCACGCACGTACATACATACAGCCATGTACTCGGATCATTGATGTAACATAATATATATATACAGGAAGCGAAGGACTGCGTAAGGGTCGGTCACTGAGGGTTCCAAATTTAATCTCACGGTCATTAACTATCCCACGCAAAAATGTAATCGTTTACATAACTCTTTTACGTCTATTAAGAAAGAATATTGAAAATAAGCAAGTCGCTTTATTTTGCAACGCCTGTCACTATAACTCGATGATGCATATAAAAAATAAAAGTTACACCAAACACACTATTCTGCATCTTTGAAAAATAACAACATATTAAGCAATAGTCCCCTTCCATTTAGACATCTTAATGTATATGTATTTTCACCTTCTGCTAGAACGAAAACAATCACATTCACTTTAATGATTCTGTTTATCAATAATTTTTATCGCCATTTTATACGACATTTTTCCTATTACTATCACACCCTATTAGATACCATTACCTTAAGCTTTTAACGACATATGTTCCCTCTGTTTAATATTATTACATCATCCACATTCACACTGCTAATGAAATCCTTAGAGAATTAAATTAATATTCTACTTTCCAGTGACAAGTTCGAACCATTGTCGGAGAGCTTCTCCGAGCACAACCGGCATCGAGTCAAGCTCACGGAGGACTACGTAGAAAGGAAACGGAAATGATTCCATATATCGACAAAGAATCGGTTGTTGTGTAGTGGCATCGAAAGAAGCCCTTTGCATCTCCATGATGGAACCCTGGAAAATTACGGAGATGTCAGTAATGAGATACCTGTCGTCCTTAGTTTTGTTCCTCAACATATAAGGTTCTCTACTGCCGCTATAGATTCGGCGTACGTAAAGCGACTAAACTAACATATCTATATACAAGCCAAAATGTACAATAACCTAGCCCCTATTGTGCCGATAAGAAGGATATTAATCTTTATAATTACTATCGATCGCGTTACAGCGAACAGGAATTACGGTATAAGACAACCAGCTTATAATTTATTCTGATCTAATTATTTTCATGGAACTGCTTAAAATTGGTCTCCTGCTTTTTAGGGTATTCTACCTGAATCGCAGTGGGATTATCCAGGAGAAGGTAGACAATGAAAATCCCGTTTTCTCTAGCTCTTCGGATTGTTCCTTTAACTAATTCAGTGCCCTCTGACATAAGACGGCCATCTGATACGATGATCAAAAGCTGGGCAGTTTCTCTTTGTACTGGATTACCTGTGAATTTGATTGTATCGATCATTCAATTCTTGTCCGTGACATATCGAAATAGTCTTTACGGCACTGTATATCACACTGTGAACTAACTTCAAAGGTCGCTCTCAATATAAAAAAAATAATACACATTCACTACCAATAAGACTTGCAAAACGCAATTAATATAGACAAATAAGAAAGACAGGCTGCTGTAACGGGCAAATAAATCAGTAATACCCATGCTTTTCTACTTCTCATTTCCTCATACTGTATGAACGATTGAAGTACACTGCAGTTCAAATTTCTAATACTTTACCGTTAATACTGGATCTGCTCTTTTCGAACATGTCTGTTGCGAAAGAGATGAGGTTTGACACCCTTGTCTCAGTCTGTGAAAAGGTGAAACTTCTGACAAGATGAGCACCACTGTCTGATATCCACGATTCACCTAACGGATGAACGAGGCTAACCTAAAGGTATAATAACGAACAAGTGCCTGTCGCTTAGACCACACAGCGCAAACCGGGTACTCGAGAACAAAGATTCTTTTCAATAGTCAAGGCTACATTATCATTACATATTTGGCCATGCAAATCTCATAGAAGGCATACGCGTAGTAAAAATCTTTTATCAGATACGACAAAGATAATACATTAGTTTTGAGACAACAGATCCTGTCTCGTGTAGTCATTTATAATTTGGCATTAAATATACATAACAATAGAAAATTTAGCAAAATATGCGGGAGAATATGTATGTGTCATTGGACAGCTCTGGTCAAACCGGCCCGAACAGATGTTTAATTGGTTCAGTCCAAGCTAAGTCAAAGTACTTTTCTGCATTGGGGAAGATCAATGACCTTCGTTTACATACATTTATACTTTATATCCGGAATACTCACGTTTACTCCGAAAGAAGCAACAGACAACTCTCCAGCCTCGAGAAAATTCAGAGCGTTAGCAAGGAGTGCAACCGTTTCAAAAGTCATTTCCTTTGCTTTCGAATCAGACATCGAAGCGGAGTCATCGACAGCAAGCAGGATTTGGTATTGGCGTTTGTTAGGTTTTGTGCGTTTCATCCAGATTCTATCCTTCCGGAATCCGCTAGCGACGTAATCAATTACCTGCACGTGAAACGAAATGATTTCCAAAAATAACACCCTTTAAAGAAGAATATCTTGACGCATTATGTCAGTTTTGACTACATCCAACCTAAGTCAGATAAGTGATCGGAGAGCCAACATTCAAATAAAACCGAAATAACGGTATCGCTCACTTCTTGCATCTACATGGTGTACTAAGTGATTACTACTAACTAACTAAATGATGACTTGCAAATAAGTGATGATAGCATATATATACATATATATATATATATGCATATATATCGAAAAAGTGATGTACTTGAGGGAAGACTTCTTCACACAGTAGGAATAACGAACGACGTGAAAAACAGCAGCAAGTTGCGTATCTTCTACTACTATTCAACGTACCTTTCTCATATTCAATCTTTTGCCACTTCTGTAGTCTCCTTTAAACTTCGACGCTTTCGTCAGCTCTAGCACAAGACGGAGCTGCTCACACAGCTCCTGCACCAATAAAGATACACTCTTTTCTGCTTCTGCCCATACGCGTCTACATTCGGCCAAATCACACGAAAATTCTTCTGGGCATATAGCCTGAACTCCCAGATTGACTGCTTCAACCTGAAATGAGTCATTGGCCGAAGAATGCTACTGTAAGAAATTGGTCTATAGTACTGGCATAATATGGCACTGATTAGTGAACTTATTATCTCGTTCTGACGGTAATTTTTCAGTGGAGAGTCACATATAGGTAACAGAGCAACACAAGTTTTTCCCTTACTTTTTCAAATAGAAGATCAGTGCGTGTCTCGACGACGGCCTGGTTGCCTCGCTGCACTGTTTGTGTACGTACAAGATCCCCATTCTTGAACTGCGCTTCACCCTCTGGGCCTGGTTCGCTCTTCGGCAACTTCGGTATTTTCCCCTTATCTTTAGTCCGCTGCTGTTGCTGATACGTCTGCTCCTGTACAAATTAAGACAGTTACCTTGACGTTCGATTAAAACCAGAAAATTCTGTTGACTTATTGATTATGTCTCATCTACTACAACATCTTAATTTCAATAAACACTCATCAAACAATACAGTAGGTAATTTACTATACATCTATAGTGATAGCCGGTTACTGTCAGTTGATCATACCTTGCGCTTATCGTTAGCCTCCTGGTCGTCGACACTCATTGGGTCCTCGGAATCATTCACACCAATATCCTCCATGCCCGAATCGCTACCTTCCGATTCAGCCTGTTCTGTTTCATTGGCTGCAACCTGTAACAATTTTACCATAGTCGTAGTATAATTACATATAACGAATTGCTCTACTCACTGAAAATGGAACTCGTGCCCCCTTTTTGTTTGACTAGGATCACAGACAAACTTACAAACATCGTGTTATTGACGTTTAAATGAAATATTCCGTAAAAAATTTGTCATAAACGTTTTTCTATTTAGAAATTATCGCGTATAATGCAAACGCACCGGTTGGGTTTTTTCAGCCTGTTCATCGGTAGCCATATCAACTGCCACCTCTTCAATGTCAGCGTTTTCGTCATCTTTGTGTTGATGTTCGAATTCGCTTCCTTTCTCTAAACCGGACTGCTTCTCGTGGTCGACAGCTTGCGAAATGTTGCCTATTTGAGAGAACATCATCGTCACGGTGCCGATGAAATACCTTAAGCTAGACGCTGGTTTAATCTATGATGATATTGAAAATCATAGAAAAGCGGCTATCTCTTGTATCTAAGGGAAGTTGAACAATTTAAATACGGAATGTTTCCTAAATGTTTCCCAAATACCCTTTCAAATAAATCTAGTTTTAAGTCAAAAACCTAGTTCATTTTTTTCAAGTATTGCAAAACTTAAGACAAGTGTGGTTCATTTGGCTTTCTTTATCTACTCTTCATGGCCCCAGTACAAAGCTAGTGGTATCAATATAACATTAGCTAACAAAGCTAATGAATAATAAAAAGTACTTGACATACGTTGGTGTCGCTGTAATACTACGACTGAGTCTTACCGTTGATAAGGTCCTTATGTTGTGGCATTTGTAAAGCAATCTTGCGTTCATTTGAAGATTTTTTTTGCTTTTCCCGAGACGCACCCTTAGTCTGCGACGCGTCCTCGCGAGCGCGGTCCGTCGTATTGCCCATATCCTCCGTATTCGCGGAGGAACTTTGACCTTCACCTGAGCCTAAATTACAGAAATAAAGGAGAGAATGTTAAACCCAATTAGCTAGGCAAGACAACGGCATAAACTCGAGCAAATGATTTTGTAAATACCTAAATTCGTCTCTTCTGAAATAATAAGAACTGATATACGTCCATGCCAGAGCTCACCATCTATATCTTCGCTAGTCTGCATACATTCCCCTCGCTGGTCAACAGGTTGCTCGGCGGTTTGCGCTGCACTTCGATCGCCCTTTGCGTGTATGATCTGAGGCACGTTTTTATCAGTTTTATCTAAAGCATCATCAACACTGGCGTCGCGTTTGTCTTCAATGCTATCAGGATTCTCGATTTTTTCTTCTTCTTGCTCAGCCTTCGAAGGGTCGCCATCGTCCACAGGCTCATTAACTTCTTCTGGCAAGTCAGATAGCTCTTCATCGGCAGGAGCTTCAGTGTCTTCATCGTTTTCGGCCTTGCCTTTATCGGCGTCATGCGCACATTTAGAGTGAAAGTTTATGGTAAGCTAATGCGCAGTTTGCAGGACTGTGTAATGATTTCTACCAATAAAATGAATTTTCCTCTCGGTATCACATAGGTAAATAATACTGTCCCAAAAATTTCAAAAAACCCACCTCGATCACTGATGTCATCTGCGTCGTCTTTACCTTCACTACCTTCTTCTTCCATTTCTTCTGTCTCTATTAGGTTTTCAGGCAACTGGAAATCTTCAACTTCGTTATCCTCATCCATACCCGCCTGTTTGCCACTTTTGTATGGGTCTTCCTTTTCACCTTCGTACTCGTCATCCATCTCGTTAATTTGGTTTTCGTCATCTTCGTCTGAAAAAAAATTTAAGAACACAAATCACTTGTATAACTTTAGGTATTAAAAAAAAATATATATATATATATACATATATATATAAAGCATTCAACCATAGCTGAGGAGACTACCTACATGGCAGAACATGATGCAGAACAATTGATCCGTTCAAATCGACACGTATTATCCTGCCTCAAGCAATATGAATATCGGCGTAGTAAGCTTAATCTATTATACATTACGGCTCACCTGGGAATGGCTTTTCATCTTTGCTTTTCGAATCTTTTTCGGTTTCTCTTGCTTTGTCGTCTTTAGCCACCATCTGACTTTCTTCCTGCAACTCTTCCCCACCTTGGGCATCGTCATCTGAACTGAGATCTTGATTTTCTTCGTCCTGTTCTTTATCCCACATCTTTTTATCAAGATCAAAGGGATTATTATTCTCGACGTCACCCATCTGATCATCGAGCTGATCCTCGTCTTGTTCTTCGTCCTTATCTTCATCGTTCTTTTGGTCTATATTTATCTCATCAGGGCCCTGGGCCTTTGCATCAAAATCTTCGCTCATTTCGATGCCCTCCTTTTCGTCATCAATGTCCTTCTGGTTTTCATCTTCATTTTTTTCGTGGGGCTTTTGTTCTTTTTGGTGGGCTTCTTCGAGCTGGTCCTCGCAGTCAATTTTGTCAGATGTATCTTTTTGTCCTTCACCTTCTCCGAGGCCGCCGTCCTCAATATCTTGCAACTGGGTGGCACCTTCTTTCATAAGATCATCGCGGAATTCCTCGGGGATGCAAAATCCTTTCTGCGTCAACTGAACACTCACACATAGAACTAGGTACAAGAGCTTCAATTTTGCTCGTTGAGCTTTAACAGCACAAGCAAACGCATGCTCGAAATTCAACGAAAAGTTCTCCATAAACGCCGTGAAAGAACTAAGATTGTTTGATGGAATTTCGACGTTCAACCATACAAGCTTCTGTTGGAAAGTTGTGAAGCTTCGAAGTACTCCTTGCAAGTCGAAGTTGTCAAGAAGTTTCACCTTCTCGTTGACAAGCATGTTAAGAATATTGGTGGTATTGTCATCCTGGTCCAGCACAGGCGTCTGTTCATACGCCTTAAAGACATTCTGAACCGTGAGAAGTACTTTCTTAAGGCATTTCGTCATCGCCTCATCTACTGAGCGCAGTGCTGCCTTGGCATCATCCTCTTCCAGCGTCCTCCGCTGAGTAGCTTTTAGTGTCCGAGAAATATCTTTTAGAAGATCGTAGTAAGGCGAAGTAATGCAATTGGCCTTCCCAGCCTCAAGGCTGCTGATGACAAAATTAAGCTTTAAGTGCATACCCCTAAGAACCGTTTCCGTTTCATCAAGGACTAATACTTCTCTTTCAGATAGCGGTGCAGGATCCATCGCCTCAAATAGCCGAATGCGCTCTTGAATAGCGGTGATATTTTCAACTAGGGTTGTTCTAGTCTTTTGAGCTAACTCTTTAGTTTGAAGCACTTTCACTGAAGTCTCCATTTCCGTTGTTGGTAGCGTTTCTATCAATACGACAAATTGTTGCAGACACGAACATAGCTTTAGGAGCAGCGAGAGCATCTCCGTTCTTCTCATTGCGTTATGCGCTTGCTCTGGGATACGCTCACAGGCTGCAACATCCTTGAGCTTGACGAGGTGTTTGCGCAGCTCAAAGGCATAGCGACTAAGTTTGATCAAATGATGACTTGCGCTGGTTATCTGTTCGAAAAGATGGCTACTAAAGCCTTGCAGTCGTTCCACAACATACAATTCGAGCTCCTTACTAGGCATCTCCATAGCCGTCTGAAGGTCGCTATATTTTTGAACACTTTTAAAAAAATATGCATTCACATCGTCGACATACTCTTGAACGGCGTCAGGCACCTCACTCGACTCGAGCAACGGTGTCGCTACGAGATCTATTGCCTTGACCTTTTGGTATAGAAGTACACCTTTCCGATAAGATAGTCCACATTTCGTTAATTGGCGAAACAGCGTTGTAAGCATTTTCTTCTTACGTTGAAGCAGACTTTTGGCTTTTTTCTTCGCTTGTTTATCATCGTGGCGTATCTGTTTCTCGGTCTCTTTTGCCAATTTGCTCATATTTTCAGCGATATCGGACGCCACATCATCAAGAATGTCTGCAATAGACTGCACATGCGATGCTTCAAATGCTTCACGAAGATATTTACGTGCCAGGCGATGATAGAATGGAATGTTCGAGTATTCTACGTTATGTGATGCTGGAACCTACATTAACATAGTCCAAAGTAGCAATGCATTAAGTTGAAGTTGGATAATATATTCTCTATTTAATAATAGCTGTTGTGTCATACATCACGGGTGGAGCTCATGGTGGTTATCTTAACTAAAGCCGAATGATAGGTACCATTTGGGATAAGCATTGGATCATATACAACTTCATAGTAAAAAATAATCTCATAGAGAAAGTTAATATAGCTAAATACTTTGGCTCACGATGACTGATAGAACAGAAGCCTCATACATATTGTTCGTCTAAGTAATGTGTCTGAGCTGAATACCAGGTTTATGAAGAATATAGATTGTATTCTCTTTATATATTTTGGTCGACTTTACTGTTAATACAGAAATAATTAAACACAACATAGAAAGACAAAATAGCGTCCTACCTTAAGATCTACTGCTTTTACGTAAAAATTCGCCAAATCAATTCTTCGCAACTCTGTGATTTTTTTCTTTTTCCGTGACCTTATCGGAGCAGAAGCAAAATCGGCATCATTTTGTTGTTTTAAATAGCAAATTGCAGGCTCCTGAATAACTTTCTCAAAGTTTCGCAGACAATAGTGCAGCTTTTTATGACTTTTCTCGGCAGACTGAAATATAAGAAATATTCAGATAGGCTGATTTTTTTTAATTTCGGTTCATTATTCAAGAGACATCAAAGATTCACCAAACAGCGATACAGGTACAACAGGACTAAGACTATTTGATTTTTAACAGAATGTATGTACAAAGAGCTGAACAAAAATATAGAGTGAAGGCACACCTGCTTGATGGCAAGATAGCTGGTGTCTTTGTAGCGTACAATCTTGATGTAGTCGTTTATGTCCTTGTTGATCGCTCTCCGAGTGCTCTCTATCTTTTCTTCGATAACAGGAAGAAATTGCCTGAAACATATCACATTAAGGGTTTTTTTCATACATACTGACTTTCACCGATTAGATTTTGCACTGTAGTAATTATTCAATAATAGCAATTTTGTATAAGGATAAGGCAATCTTACATATAGTACGAATGCACGTTAGACAGTGCACTATAAACTTTGTCGTCTCCTGATCGTTTGCGCGCTTTTACGTAAGAGGCTAACTGGGATAACATCTCCAACTTATAGCTGAAATCACCTAAAGTGGTTGTGGCCTCCATCAGCGTGACAGCGGTTCTTACCACCTGAAAAAACCGAAGTAAGGTATACATATATATTTATGATGAGGGCAAATGAGAACGATGTTCATGCTGTGATCGCGTTATAGATTAAGGTTATAAGGACTTTTAGACATGTAAATGGACTAATTGGAGGTTGTTTCGAAAGGTACAAGAATAACAAAAACGATTGTATTGCAAAGTCCCACCTCTTTTTGCCGAGTATGTTGAGCATCGTCAGCATCCTCGACGACAACATCATGTTGATCAGAGACGGCATGCTCAAGCCTGAGCCAAAACTTGGCCGCTTCAACCTTTCGCTTCTCCAAAGCAGAGTCTAGTAGACCAGACCAGCTGGATAGTTCTAACTTTCTCCATGAGATAATTAAATGGGCCAAACTTGTCATTTCTGCTGCCATTTTCATATGTCGCGGAACATTCTTATTCCATTCCTCGATTTCCGTGAGCACGCGTACCAAGCCTGCGAGTACTTTCATGAGTGGAGATGTAATCGGCAGACTCAATACGCGATAGCTCACTTTTAGAACCTGCACTAAGCCGTGGTGAGTTTCGAATTCGGTAAGCAATTCTTTAGTACGGCTGATAATTTGATGGAGGACCGGTTGACATTTAATAATCTCGGCAATATTCGCATCTCGATAGAAGTCGACTTGTTGACCGGTTCGACTATCAATTTTGGCGTACGAATGAAGCTTATCCTCGTTACCAGAGATTACCCAAGTCATGCTCACCGAGGCAATGAGATGCGCAGCAACTGCCTGATCATCAACTTCTATATTTAACCAATCCTTGAAGTTATCACTAAGCAGTTGGAACAGCCGAAAACGTTCGAGCAAACAGGAGACAATATCGGCGGGGCTCGACCTTTCTGTGCTACTGGCTGTTCTGACAATCTCTAAAACAATACGATGGATCATAAGCAGATCTTCGTCGCTGAACTTTCCCAACGATGAGCTTTCGTTGTCTTGATGCTCGGTAGATTTTTCGAGACGCTTCTCCTGGTTTAAGAAATCACGATCATCGGTGATATCCTCGTAGACCTCGTCAAAGTTGGGAAACATAGCGGCAATTGCTTTCGCCTGAAGTACCTCATCATTTTCTTCACCCTTATACTCGTTGGTTCTCATTTCATATAAAGAGTCCTTCGTGAGCTCGCGTTCCGCTTCGGCAGCGGCGAATTCAGCGTATTGAGCAGTCAACCAACTCACAATACGATCAACCTTGCCGATTAGTTTCTCACGATCGCCGGACGACATCCGAAGCGCATCAAGAACTTCGAGTAAGTCAGCTTTGCTCTCACGGAACTTTAGTTTCCAGACTTTCTGCAAGTTTTCTTGTGTGTTTCCTTTCTCAGCATCGTTCAGGATTAAAGTGGTAATGTTCTTCAACAAGGGCGAACTAATAACAGCAACACGCGGAAATTGAACAATTTCGCTTACCGTAGATTGAGACTGATCGTTTTGTATAAATTTGTAGAGTGCCTCAAAGCAGTTCACCAGCTGGCTCGCTCCAAACAGGAACGGGTAGACAATATCTCGATAGAATGGATAAGCACGACGCATCGTCAAAATGAAAGATTTTTGATTAATTAACCAAGTATCGAATGTTGCCGTCGCATCTTTACCACTAAGGACACAGTTTAACATTTTATCCACAATTTCTGTGTTGGCGTTGCGCTTTACGTACTGCTGCATTACCTGTGCTATCTCTGGATACTGGCTCTTCTCTGGTCGGTAAGCAGTCCGTTTCTCGAGATTTTGCAATTTTTCATTAATGGCTTTACAAATAACGGTGTTGTTTAAGTATGCGGGATGTTGGTCCAGAGTATCACAAGCCGTTCTTCGGATCTGAAGCCATTGCCGTATTCTGAGTTCATCAACCAATACACTTTCTTCTCCACTGAGGTAGTCCTTTTTCAGAGCAACTTTCTCGTACGGATCCATTACATCGAACGGTGTAAAGATTTGCACCAAAAGATGGGCAACGCGTATTTGTTGGACGAGAATATTCCGTTTAGCATTTTGTGGATTTGCCTTGATTTCTTGCTCTACGGTTTTTACGGCTAAAAGCGCATGAACCATTCCCTCTGTTAGCGATGCATGGTTCTCTTCGAGAATAGGTCGAATGGCTGATGCAATTTTTTGCATTGCAATTTGGTTTTGATCAGCAAACTTTGTTTCTACAGTGACATACTCCCACAATAAACGACGAATCTCTTCTAATTCCCTTAGCTTCATCTGCGAGTAATCAAGGTCAAGGTTTGCGTTGTTGGTCTCTGCATCTACTAGTGGACCTATGCAATGCGTAATCGCGGGGTGATTGAAAACCAATGCGCTCGAATGCATCTTTCTTTTACCGTCCATGATTCGTTGCTTGACAGATCTTACACCTGTGGTGAGCGTCGAAATGATATGTGGCGGAGTCCAGTTGAGGTGCACATCAAGGTCAGCCATACAGCTCCAACTGCGCACCGCAAGTTCGACAAAATTCGGGATGAATTCTGGATGGCTTGCATTGAGTGCGGCCATTGACCTTCGAATGTCTAGTACTTCATATACAGGCCGCAGATGCTTGTGCAGTCGTTGATCATGGTTATATGGCGCGATTAGGACGTAGTTATTATCAAAGCGCTGCAGGCCCTCTACAAATTGCTTAAGCTTGTCTTCAATATCTTCGATTTCTTGCTTTCGCAATACGGACCCGGTCTCCACAATATCGACTATGATTTCGTTGGCTGCTTGCTTCATGGGCGCAGACATTCGCTCCAGTTCTTCAATAGCACAAGCAACGACTGCCTCATCCTCGTCGGCCAGTTCAGTAGCAACACGTTCACTCGTGTTATTAGTTAAAAACTCAATAGATAGAGCTCGGTGGAACAGTTCAGCCTGACTCTGGGTTTTCATTACAGCTGGAATACCCACGGCACGAACGGTAGTTTCGCGCAACTTTCGAGCTCGGCTGAACAAATCAGGTACAAGCCTTTCGAGTTGTCGAACTAATTTTATTATTTTGTCATTCTCTTCACGATTGGTATCAGACAAAATTATTAGCCTCTTCAAGGCCCATAGAAGAACCACAGCCATCACAGAGATATCTCGATCGACGAACCGTACTGGCTGATTGGCTTTCTGTTTAAATCGCCATACACCATATAAGCTACGCTTGGCTGCCACCAGCTGTTGGTCACTCATTTTTATAGATTTCTTTTGTTCAAGAAGTCCTTCAAGAGTGTCAATGAGGTGTGGCAGCATTCCAATTAAAACGTGGGGTAGGGTGTCCTTGTGACGGGCACTGATGCCTAGGTATGTATCACAGATTTCACTATCGCACTTTAAAGGCAGCTGCGCGTAAAGAACATCTTTCATAAGTGCAAATACGAATGTGTTTGCCCATGGATTTTTTGCTTGAAACTGCTTGGCCAAACAGGGATTGAATCGATAGTCAATACAAAGATCTCTTGGGTAATTACTAAGGCGTTGGGAAAACTCGTTGGTCAGCGTCATCACAATCCCGACGACAATGCTACTGTGAACGAAGCTTAGTTTCACTGGAATATCCGATAAGGCTAGGTTTTCGAAATAAAGCTGTTGTACCATACCGGTACGAAATTGTTGCATCTCGAATGAGTCCGTTTGGCTTCTCTTTTGCGAGAAAATAATCGAATCTTCAAAATGTTCCGCCATGTTGCCTCCATGAACATAATTCTGAACCGAAGCAGTCCTTTGACGACTCTTTATGGTGTGCTCTATGCCACTGAGGTGAGATCGAACTAATACTTCAATATCGGAATCAGCCACTAAAGGTTTAATGTAACGCACGAGAAGTTTGGCGAGTGCGGCAATAGTCAGAGTGCCCCAACGTGACTCTTGTTCCATCGCGTCCACTGCACGAACCATCTGGTTCACCAGGCCGTACGAAACGCTTTGGTGTCGAATGTTGCTCACAATTGACCAACATTTTTTAGCCAGTGCTTCGTCCAAACAGCCTTTGGCCTCTAACAATGATACGAAATCCCATTCATCTATTGTGTCATCAAAGGGAAGCATATATACCTGGAAAACATTTATAGTACAAATAAAATAAATCCAACTGTAAATGTAGGATTATAAACGGAATTAGAATCCAAATTACAATATTCTTAAAACTCACTGTCTAGGAGGCACCTAATGTATAATTACCTCGTGTCCACGATTACGCATTGCTCTAGAGATTTCGCCATTTCTAGGATCCATAGTGAGAATCAGTCGGAAATCAGGATGAGGAACAATCGTTCGTAATTCGCCATCTTGAACTCCTGCAGCAAGAAATATTGAATAATTAACTACGTTTCGCTTAAATGAGGATACTATGTACACGACGTTCGCAAACAGTAATCGAAATCCTTCAGCGTGCGCAGATACAGACAGACAGGGAGTATTCTATGTAGATGTAAACAGACGTTGTTCCAATTCTGAATACAGCATAACTGCTATGGAGCTTAAGTAGGTACCCAAAAAGCATAACAATATAGTATTGAAATTGGAATCTAATAAAGGCAGCCTTATGTAATGTGGTTTATTACACGATAAATGTGATGATGAAACAGTTTTACAAAAATGCTGTTATAGGGTAGGTAAGAATACACTATACACTGCAAAATTTTACGCGATTTAACCATGCGCATAAAAATGTCGAAACAAAATGAATAAATAATTGACCTGCTTCAGAGATGGTTAGGACCCCGTCCTTTTCGAGTAGACAGTTCAGTCGATCAAGGACGGAAGCCGCACAAAAGTTAACGTTCTCCAGAAGTAACCAGTCGCCATTCTGGAGCGCACGAACGAAAGGTGAATCGACCCACGTAAAGCGGCCCCCGCATGTCAACGATTTGTGTTCTTTGACGAGAGCCTCCAAGCGAGTCAACTGAGGAAGCAGTGATGCTAGAGGTATCCTAGAAACGAATGCCCGCACGACAGCAATCTGCGAGCAACGAATATATAGAACAACAATCACGGATGACAAACTAAAACCTCCTGCTTATAGTTTGAGTGGTATACGTTCTGTTAAAGGTAGAAGTTTGAAACGTAGCTTAAGAAATTGTTTGTGTTAGTCTTCTGGAGCAATGCTCACTTATCGCATAGAAGTTGAAATATTGATTCAACTAGGGTAGCTAGTGGTAGTCGCGAAGCGTACATTGCTTTTGTAAGACAAAAGAACTGTAGAGTTTAAAGCCCTGTCGTTATGCAGGCTACAAGATCTACGTAAGCTTTAGGATGCGACGTTGCTCCAAATTCCTTATTGCGTACATTTAAGGTGGACCAAACTAAAACGAATTAATTATAATGAAGAATTAAGCAGATTAATTGCTCATGCTCTAGCACCTACCCTTTGAACGAATGCGTCAACCGGGTTTTCTGTCTTTGTCGACTCAGTTCCGCTACAGTAGAGGGAATACTCTTTGCTCAGTGAGTACAGTCCCTTTAGCAAAACTTCAGCCTTTCCCAAGCTGTTGTCGTTGAGGTGTGAAGCAATCATCAATCGAACCTGTTCAATCGCTCTATTGATTACCTCTGAAAGAGCGCGGTTTAGATCAACCTGAAACAGCAAAAGAACAATAAAAGTAGAAAGTCAGATTAACAAGATAAATACTGCTCTAAGTAGTATACATTTTGTATTGTACAGCCAAAAAGAGTTAACATTCAGAATACAAAAGAGATCACCTGCTTTCTACAACTGTTTTCAGGAAATCAATATATAAAATCTCGAGTATATTGAATTATAAAAGCGCCAACAATCTTTTGAATAGAAAATTCTGTTTTAATCAGCACTATGATTTGTTCTAGTACCTGTTCGAAGCCACCGAGTAACTCAATAGTATCCATTTCTGAGGTAACGGGTAGAACCGTAAGTTTGCGACCGAGAAGGGCACAAAGCGACTTTACTGACGAGGTTTTCCCGCAACCCGCAGGGCCTACCAGTATACACATTGTACCCTATACACACGTGATATATAGAAGATAAAGTAAAACGCTTAGTTCTGGCATCTAATTGGTGAAAACACAAATTGTCAATAAATTGTAAGGAACCCTGAATATAGGAATGCATTAATAATACGGATATTGAATTGAAGTCACTTTAGTTGACTCATTTGATCTTTGATCTTCTCTAATCCTTTTTAAAAGATAAAAAAGAACTAATAACAACAATAAAAAGTTAATCTGTCGTTAATTAACATTAATTACTTATAACAACACTCACAGATTATTCAGCTATTTAGAGCAAACAAAGTTCATTTAAATATAAACCTATTTTTCATAGACATTTTGAATTTTCTTGGTATGAGCACATACCCTTAAGATTAATTTTGCTTACTATGGCAAATCTAATGATTAGAATTTGCCGATATGTTTCTACGTACTATATACTTATAACTGTAACATTTGAAGTACAATAACTTCATCATGTTTACGCTTTATAGATATGGTTTTACCTGATTAAGACACATGACAATGCTTTCAATTACTCTCCTTTGGCTCCGCAGCAAACGCAGATTGGCAACATCTTCTGAAAGTGATTCAAATCCTGTATTGTATGAACGCTGTAGCAAAAATCCACCAACTTGGAGCCAGTCTGACGTGAGGCGGAGCTTGGGAAAAGGTCGGGCCATTTTTTCGCCAAATACTACTTGACATATGTCAGCCACTTTCTGGCGATCTGCCTCACTTCTCATCCGATCAGCGTAAACGAACGAAACCAGCTCCGACGGCCGCTAACGCGGTGATGAGAAGATACCGAAATTTACAGACAGTTAATTAGAAAGTTACTTAGGTCATTCCGGGTAAACAATTATCACGGCGTTGTGAAAACTATGAAATAACATAGAAGTTTATGATAGATGTGTGCATACTCTTGAAAATAACAGATGCCCTTATCGAGCGCATCCCGATTTGGAACTTATTTGTAAAAAGTAGGCGAAAATTAGTTTTTATTCAAGAAAAGAATGAAAACAAACAACTCCTAGAAAATAAAACAGTGGAAAAGTTCAAAAGGTAGCTGTTTAGAAAATACTGATTTCTTGTTATAATATTTACTATTTATTATTACGAGACGTAACCATATTATTAACATTTTTAAAAGAAATAGAGTTTACGCGCAAATACGCAGAACTGTGAATTCTGTATGTCTTTACCATTTTGTGACGGATAACCATATCTGCCCATCTGCACATGTCTCTAAGGTTAAACTCCCACGGCGCACCATTGTGGCCCCACAAACCTCGTGTTTGGACCTCGTCACATAGGACAGAGTTGAACTGAACCATGGACTTCAACTGCCCGGCATCCAATGATGGGAATAGAAGCCGAAGAATCAGGTACAAGTCCTCTTCGGTCAGGGGTTCCATGTACACCTAATAAACAAGATAAGGGCGTTGAACACCTATGATATATGAATTACAGGTCTGGTTTGAACGGTTAAATCTCTAGTTGAAAAAAAATAGAGGTAGGTGGTTCAAGTTCCGTCATTGACATAAAACACAAAATGTGTCATTATATGAGATGTCTCATACAGGAATTTCTGTAAAACTAAAAATTCTGACGGTCTATTTCCGATAAAAACTACTACAAATGCACAAAGGAATAAAGCATGCATATGCCGTTTACAGTTATGTTACGGTTCAGTAGTAATCTTTTTTATACAGTAACTTAAGCGACTAAACTTCCAGCTGAAAAAACGGTTTAAACCCTACCAATAACATACTACACGCACGGTGTGATTAAATAAAGTAGCTAAATGCCGTACCTGGGTGAAGCGATTAAGGAACGACTTTGGAAGACCTTTTCGTCCACAGCCTTGCCTGTGAGGATTTTGGCATCCAAATATTCGTGTTTGGCCGCGCTTAACAGCGAAGGTCCGACTTAACTCAGGGACAAAGATTTCGCCACGATGGTCAAGACAAGCGTTTAGGCCCTCAAGTACGCTTTGGGAAGCTAAATTCAACTAAAATAGTAAGTTGAAGTTAAGAAATTTAACATACATTCACATTGACAGTAAACGACAGCGAAGTAAGGAAACATTCAAAACGGATCTGTAATAAATGTTCATCTGTACTATTAAGAGCACAACGTGATCGCGGCTTCTGGATTTTTATATTATAACCAAATTTTGAAGGAATAGGGACTATAAATTGATGTTGCCTTTTAGATGAAAAGTTAAGGGCATCATCAGGGACCTACTTCATCGAGAAGTATCCAATCACTTCGTTTTAACGCCCGTAAGAGCGGTCCGTCACGCCATCGGAAGCGTCCGCCGACACCTCCTTCAACCGGAAGATCGGCTCCGAATAAATCAGCGATATCTGTTTGTTCTGATAGATTAATCCGCGTTATCTGTAATAAGAAAGCAAAAAAAAATCTAGTCAATTTTAAAAATATATAACATTCTATTATTCACATAAAGCATACGGCTATATCTGAGCGCTTCGCCTGTACGAAAATCTGTCGGACAATTAGAAATATTATTGAGATAATTAATAGAATTTACCTGTTTTCCGCATTGTTTTGCAAGCGCAATAACAATACTTGTCTTTCCAACGCCAGGCACTCCTTCTAATAGGAGGGGCTTCTGGAGTCCCATAGCACGTAAAATACGCATCGCATTGCTGCAGCTTGTCGGCGCCGAAAAATTGAACTCGAGTAAACGCGTGGGGGCGCCTGCATGTTTGAGTAACTTATATGGACCCACTGCGAGATGCTTATCCGTCACGCGAATTGATAGGCATTGATCTTCCAGCAAACATAAATCAGGGTTAGGCATGCTTGCCATTAGCACCTGAAAAACGTTTCGACACAATATGATTTCAGAAGAAGCGCATTTTCTGTAAGTTTCCGTTCCCCATACCCGCCATTCAAACTATACCGGATATCTAATCCGATCATCTGATTGGAGTTCTAAACATAACGCGATTAAATGTTTTAATAATTATAATAGGTAGATTTTTATTGCTTGCGTACCCCAAGCGCTTTAGTACGAGCTGTTTTGAGGTTGTCTCCCTGCTCTGACGCGTTTCTTGTGCCCAAAGAGTCCAGAAAGATCATGGCGGCGCCGTGAACGAACGCTGTCTCCGCATTTAGACGGTGCGCATAGACGTTGATAAAGTTTACCCACGACAGGATGTCACGCAGCGATATTACGGTCCTGTACATTATAATAGATATCAGATGACAAAACTCAGAACTTAAGTGCTGACAGAGAAACCAATAAATCGAGGACTGTCTTGATTTACATGAAATGGAAAATTTACAAAATACATAACGGCGTATTAAAACTTGTTCATACCTCTTTCCAAATTCTTCCTGTTCAAACCAACGCATAAATTCCATCATGCCGTTGGCTATCCACTGCTTGGCTTGTTCATTGACGCTATCATTTTCCGCAAGGTTATGCTGGATCACACAAAGGAGATCGTCATCGCACAAATTCGAAGGACACCAAATTTCGGTAAACCGATTTCGCAGAGCGGGTGATAACTCCTTTTTACCAAAATCCCCACCGGGGTTCATCGTTGACGCAAACCAAAAATTCGCGGCAGCTGATATACATACGCCATCGCCTACGTGAAAAAAATCCTTGCGCATTAACTATCGGACGTCCTTATAATTTCCGATACAATCCCCCTTAATATCCTTATTATCGTTCGCATAAAATGAGTTTCAATTACAGTAATGTCAGAAATACGATATTCTGACACGTCACGTAAAAATTCTGCTAACGCGTTTTCTAATGAAAATTAGCTGATTTCCTTTTTATCTAATATTTATTATCCATTTATACTCATCGAAGTGACACCTGTTGTTTAATAATAAGTCTTACATATCGTTTATATATAGCCTTATATAATCGTCTCAATAAACTATATTTTATATTGCTTTTTTTGAAAATACACGTCACCTTAAGTAACTGGCACTGCGAACACAAACCTTTTTCTGCTATGAAGATCGTCTTCTCGATTTCAAGCAAGGAGTTGAGCCTCTCCAGAACGGAATCATCTGCCAATGAGATCTCATCCGCGAGAAAGAAATCTCCGCTTTGCATGGCTTTCACGAGGGGGCCATCATTCCACTCAAACAACCTTGAGGCAAGAAGGTAATACTAGACAGCTAATCGTTTATGTAATGCGTTTACAAGTAAGTAGTGATGTTAAATACGTTTTACGTATTGTTCTCTGTACATAAATGCTCAGGTAGTCAACCTTACGATAATTCTTTGGTCTCTTTAAGTAAGCCTATTTGAGCTAATCACAAGTAGTCAAGTACGAAAGTTTAAAGAAGCACCAATCTCAATTTCTTTTCATGGTCGATATAACAACACCGAATACAACTGTTGCAGAGCAAAGCATAGCTAACTTGTGCTTCTTAATCTTAAAGATATACTTTGATAATACTTTAGGTACAATAGTTCATAAAGGATAATTCTAATAAATATAAAAATAAAAAAAGGTAAAATATTACAACTTTTCAACATTTAGTAATAATGGCTTACCTTCCAGAGTCATCGTTAGACTCCGTTTCCGTATAGTTCTCTTTGGACAACTCATCGGTACTTGTTCGTCCTCTGTATGGCCGAAGACCTCCAATGAAATCTGCCGCCTCCGAGTGCATATGACAGTTTACAGAGTACAATCGACGACCGTGCATTCTTGCAAACAACTGAACCACGGTTGTTTTGCCACACCCGGTTTCGCCAACCAACAATACGGGCTCCCCAAACTTCAGAGCTTGTCCGACTAAAACGGCAAGACGGCGGGCGTTTTTCGTCCAAACCTTTAATCACAAAACAAATGACAGAGTTAACTGACTAACATAAATGCTTTAAGCATGGCTGAAGAGTCAATAAACACCATCAAGTCCTTCTTCTTAACATATCCGGAAGAATGTCCTGGCTTAACTGGCTCTGTATTAATTTTTGTAGTTCTTCCATCTATCTCATTTACTGCTCAACTAACGTTTGCTGAATCATGAATTTTAACCAACAGTTTCCTTTTACACCTCGCATATTGCACTAACCACATGGGCAAAGTTGTCTTTATCACAGGCACTAGTCTCGCATTCCCATTTGTCTAACATTTCCCGTACAGACTTCGTTGTATCTGAGCTGCTCCATAACGCGTCTCTGTCGACCTCACGTTTGAAAACCTTCCTGAGCGCCCGACAAATAATCTGCTCTTCTTCATTACGTCGGACTCGTCCCGCTAGAAGCATGTACCTAAAAACATAACAAAAGCTTATCCATAGTCTAAGCAATACATTTCGAAATGTCGTTAAGCCTCACTTACATGTTCTACGCATATACAGCATAACGTACCATACTAGCTAGTTCGGATAACGTTTTCGTCCATGTTGTTATCACTTAACAAGTAATTATTAAGATTCGAACTTGTACTTCGAATTCTAAAAAACTAGCAAAGTTTTCCTTGTTCAACGATGTGAATCTGAACTGTTAAAACGATGAAAAAATGAAAAACGATGTGAAGAACAAAATGCCCTTGGACGTACCCCTCATCGGCGAGCAGCTGGTCCCAATCGTGAAACCCAGTTCTTTCAACTCGGCGATAGCGTTCCGCCCACCGGAATAAATCCCGGAGTGTTATGAATCCCTGCTTTCCAGCAAAGATCCCTGAACCCTTTCGCTCTAGTTGCAATTCTGACATGACGCGAATCATTTTCGTTGCATGGGTCGGCGACACTGCACAACGCTTTGACAGAATCGTTACCAACTCCGATGGTGGAAGTTCATTAAAGTGGAGCTCAATGAAACGATTTCTAAAAATAACAGTAACGCAATGAATGAACACGGAAGCAATAGATCATGTGGATTAGTCAACGAATGTGACAAGGCCATAGAGCGATAAGTTGAATTTAGCAAAATGCAATACTGCTGCAACCCTTTGCTTAGATGCTGTATATTTTTTCTATAATGAAAAGACGGAATGTTTTAAGCATCGACGTAAAAAGAAGAAGTCTATCCGTCTGCTAAATATAATTTACCTGAAGGCTCGTGAAAGTACTTTTCTACCCGCATATGTCCCCGGCGGGTTTTGGGTTGCAAACAGCATAAATTTCGGGTGGGCAGTGACCTCTGTTTGTGATTCCGATATGAAGAGTTTTCTGCAAAATGTGAAACGGTTGACGGTTAATAATATGATATACAATTGATTATGGTTAGATTTTAAACACAGGCAAAATTTTCTGCCTTTAGAAAAAAAGTTTGGTATGGCAACAAATTTGTTCGAGAATAAAACTTCCCTACTGATTACCTATTATCATCAAGCACCCGATTTAATGCTTCGAGAATTTCAGAGCACGCAAGATTGAGCTCGTCTAAAATGATCCAGTGGCCTTTACGCATTGCCTCCACCAAGACTCCCTCCTGAAAGTACATACGTGAAAGAACACGTATACAGTGCATATATAGGGTGAGTTTTTATAAGTATTGCTGTTATCTTAGTCTAACCATATCTGTTATACGGTTACATTAAAAATGGGCAGTTTTTCTCAAATAGGAACAGGTAAAATTAGGAAAAGGACTTACGGGAGTAAAGAAATAAATACTCGATAATCTTACCTTAAAAACGAGAGCCCCGTTCTTATCCGCAATATATTGGCCGATATATTCAGTAATATCCGTATGTTCATGATTGTTGACACGAACGCATTTATTCCCCGTGCATTTCGCTAGATAGGTGATCAGACTTGTTTTCCCTGCATCGTAAGGAAAATAATTAGAGTAAAAGCAAGGAAGAAGTATAAGATTTAGCCCAGTTATTGGAATTTTGAAATCCTGTAATTAGATCGTACTATAGGAAAATTTCCTTTTCCTGAAAGCATGACCAAAGTACATTCGCTAGTCAACGAATTGTTGTTTGGCCTGTTCAACACTAACCTACGGACGTTTCTCCTTGAATAAGCACCGGATGCTGTCGTGCGCTGACTGCTCTAGCAAGATCTTTCAAGTTTTCTCGTACTGTGTTAGTCAAAATGTAGTCTTCAGGAGTTTGAGGCTTTTCGTCACCACAAGGTACCCAGTATCCTTCAAGCTGGACAAAGTTGCCACCAGATGGTTGTTTTAGTTGTTCACCTGTTCGGAAAAATTTGCGGAACTAAGTCACTGGGCACTGCGCAACATCTCAGCAATTCTGTTAAGTTTGAACACGGGATTGTTCCATTTAAGTCGATAACATATAGCAATAAAGCTTTCCATGTATTGGAAATTTATTGGAAACTAATTCCAAAGAATTATTGGAAAATAGTTCTTTAAAAAATCCTACCAAGAAGACTAGCAGCCTTGGGGCCCAGGATAGCCCTGGTGATTTCATTCTGTACAAGCTTATGAGAAACGGGATCCATTTGTGTGATGAAGCTTAAACAGAATCCTTCGTAGATTGCCCGATCTGCTTGTTGACAGTCCTAAACGAAAATAACAACATTAGCCCGAACAGTTAGTGAATGAGCCATAAAAATCTTCGTTCAAGCTCCGTATAACCGATACTAACCGGATGCAGCTTAAACAAACACATGGAACTTACCCACCTGCAGGTAGTACACAGGTGACCAGATTATTTAGTTAATATCTGCATTTGTTTGGATTATGGATAAAACCAAACCTGAATCATTCGACCAGCAAAACGCGTAGCCCGACAGAGCGTACGCAGGCTGTAGTGTGGTCGGTGTCCTGTGCCATCGGCGAGTTTGGTACGGCCAAGCTCTCGCAATCGCAGGTAAAGGTCAACGCATTGCCCAACAACGACTGGAGATGCTCCCCCAAGATAACTGTACTTCCGATGAGAAAACAGTAATAAACTTAGTTCATATATAATTTATTAATACATACATGTTACGATTCATTCTTATTTAATGGTTAAATGTCAATCTTTGCGAAGGCAGACAGTCGCAGCAGTAGTCGCGTATCACTTGAAAATGCTACTAAAAACCTTTACAGGAGTCGATGAGGCAACTAGAGTCGTCATTCGATGTTAAAACTCCTTACAAAATCTCTACGTTTTATCAACTTTTCCAAATAAACGAAATTATATGTTTTTGGTATGGAATTCTAAAAACATTTTATTTCTATAAACCCTCAATAATATGTATGTATAATAGATGATTGAGACTGAAGTTTTAGAGGCGGTTTATTAAAATGCATGGTGTTGACTACGTCTGTTTGACAAACCTGTGGGCAACCAATTGAAGGTCCGGAAATTGAACTATCTCTTCAAAGTAGAGCTCTGTGAAACGGTTACGGATACCAACTGGTAGATCTTTCTTTCCGACATCTGTGGCCGGATTCATGCATGCGAATATTCGAAAATTCGGGTGACATTGTACTGGATCAGCTTCTCCCTTCTCCTGAAAAAATCAAATAAAAGAAGGATGAGATTATCCAATCAACATATGAAGGTCGTTGGCAAGGACGCAATGACCTCCTATAATGTGAATGATGTTAAGAATAAATGAATGACCAATAACACGAGAAGTCTAGGAGCAACTTTTTTGAACTAAGAAGGAAAAATTTCGGGATTCCCTTTATCATTGCGGTGCCACAGTCGCGACGAAGAATGCAGCAGAAGTTAGTAACATAATCACTTGTTTTGCAGAACTCACCTGTAGAAGAAGTTGGCCATATTCAAGAATAGAAGCTAAACATTCGAGCATCTCAGTCTCGGCAAGGTTGATCTCGTCTAGCAGGATCCAGTCCCCGCGACGCATGGCCTTCACTAAAGAACCCTCAATAAATGCGAATGACATCCGTTCGTTCCCTAGCTTGTCGCTCGCAAGTTGTGTCTGAATCACCCAATTTAAAGTATGATTTTAGCAACGCCAAAATTAGGTTGACGAGAATGATTAAAGATATACGATAAGAGATAGTACTGGTTAGTTTAGACAGTTCAAGGCCATATGGCTCATATAGCGTAAACCGGAAAAAATTATCTATCATTAATCTTTGTTGATGTAAAGCAGAAAACTTACCATAACGGCATGCGCCCTCATTCCGAGATCTTTAAGTTTCTCTTGCCAGTTGCCACCGATTTGTATGATGCTTGCGTTCACAGCGTCCGCCATTTGCTTACACGTCTCTGAAATTGCGGCACATACCTTCCCCAGAGCTTTTCGCTCATAGGAGATCATAAGAGTTTCTAGAAAACTGCGATTCCCTTCTAGTAGTTTTTTCCTATAAGAAATTAGCCAAGACAGTTAAAAATTAAAAAAGGCTATGGTGTTGGAATATGCTTGTAAGAAGGCAGCGATGTCGTGTGTACAAATATTTAAGGTATTCATAATATTAACTCAATTCGACGATTTCCTTTAACGTTTTGGCTTAAACTATTAATAATTCCCCAGTTGGTATTTACAAATATTCGAATTAGTTTAGATTATGAAAAAAAAAACATATACTGTACACTACTGCCGAGAAAGTTAAATTACGTATATTTTACTGTTCTTCTATTCTACTAGCAAACCAAACAAAGAAAGTAATTAAACCTCAAAGAGCTACGTACCGTACATTAAGGAGATCCCTCAGTTCATTAATAAAGTTAAGTACAGTGAACGTTGAGGCAACGGGCTTAAATCCTCCGATTAGATCGACAATGTCTGTTTGCTGATTTAAATTAATCACCGTCAAGCGATTGTTTGTGTGGCGGGCTAAATATTGCACGACTGTAGTCTTGCCTGTACAAAAAGGTTAATCCGAATTCACCACTTCTCTTACTATAGATAGGGGTAACAAAAATACACTCAAACGAAAAAATGCTTCAGGAATAATTCTATAGAAAAAAAAGGAATAAAAAAAAGAATCAACGGAAGGTGTACAAGCCTGTCCCAGTTTCTCCAACAAGAAGAACAGGCTCCTTGCAGGTGATACAACGGATGATCTTCTCAAGCACGTTAAGGGACACACGAGTTGGGGCAAACTTATCACCCGTGGTCCCATATTCCTGCAACTGCAACTTTTCCATGGCAGTCATTAGCGGTCTCTTACTGACAGAGCAACGTCCTGCAAAAAATTACATATGTATTGGTTGATCTGATGTCCAGGCTAATTACGGCAAAAAAAGTGAGCAAAAGAGCGACACTGTTAATAATTCGACATTAGGATTAGAGTAAAAATATGTTAGTAACAAGTGGGAGCCTGTTCAACTAACTTTAAATAAGAATGCTTGTCAAGTGGTACCTTCAATACACAAATATTTAATATGTAGATCGAACTTACGAATACTCACCGACAGTGATGGATTTTTCGTCCAACTGCACGTTAGGCTTCCGCTGCTCAACAATATGCTTCACATCATTTGGCCCCATATTGAATATGGGACCTAAGTATGCCTGAGCCAACGATAATTTCAAGGAGGGAGAGTCTATAAATTCGATTAGGCAATCTACAGCATCCAAAAACAATTCTTCAGGATTAGAGCAATCCAAACTGTGGAAAATGTAATAAAAAAAACAAGGTTAATTAATATAAGGAACAGTTAGCTAGCAACTACTGACTACTAGCTAGGAAAATTTCAGAGACATTCTGCATACGAGACGTTAGTACATTCATAACTGTACAAATTCTTCCTTGGCTACATTAGGTGCTTTGTGACATTCAAAATACGTACCGGAAATTTTCTGCTAATCTCTTAGCCAGCTTAACGAGATCTCTGAGGGATATCACTCGTTTACAGTGACCTTCCTCTTGTAGCCGTGTTTGTAGTCGACGGTAAAGATGGATAATTTTGGGAAGAAAAGGTTGTAGAATCGGTGCATGACTACCCAATATCTGTTCTAGCTCTGCATCATTTGGAGACGACACGTGAACCTACAAGGCAAGTTTGAACTTTTTATTAGATGAAAACAAGAACTCGCGAATTCATTAATATTTCTTATTGGTCTGTTGAGTATGAATAAGTCATTATTTCATCCATACTCATCAATATGGGATAGCTCATATATCTTTATTAAGGTACATATACCTCAATATCTTTATTAAGATATTGATTAGGTTGGCCACTTTCTTCTAACCTTGGTCAATAAGCCCTCAATGGCTTGGCAGGAGCCGACCATTTCTGAATGGCCCTGGTGTTGAACTCTCCCGTGGGCTTTATCCCCTCCCAGTAGCCGCATCGTCGTGAAAAGACGAAATCCACTTGCAGCTGTCAGGCCACCATCCAGATTTACTCCAGGGAGTCTCCGCTCCTGAATAAGAGGCATTAGTAAGGTCACAATGTCGACTGGAGCAAAGTCGAGATCCTCCAGAAGAAGCCACTGCCCATTGGTCACTGCCTGGTAAACCAGACCGGGTTGCCAACAGAACTTCCCCGGAATATCCGTGCAGCAGTAGGAGCCCACCAGCATCTATATGAAATAGAGGATTCAAAAAAATAGAACCAATCCAGACAGGGAGAAATGTAGGAAATTACATCGGTTAAAATAGTGCTATCGGTATTATTTTATAGTCAGGGAAAATAATGAACAGAACGTACCAATTTAACCGACGGGTGGTAAAAAAATTAAATACCTTGCTATCGGCGTGGTTTCCAAGCTGTACTTTGACTAATCTGTTGCCTGTCATACGAGCCAACTCTTCCACAAGAAGGGTTTTACCCACACCAATTGAGCCCGTGATGAGAACAGGACGCAAAGACACTATAGCAGATGCAGTTTCACGGAGCGCGGAGCAAATTGAAGGCGTCCGTACGATGCTTGGCAAAGTAGATACATCTTCAAATGAAAAATATTACAGTTATTTTAAACAAGAGCAGCGTACCGTACATAGCTGAATAATAAAGAGGAAATTTATACTGCATCAGTAGAGTGAAGAAAGCAATACTAGAAAATCACGAATATACATCGCACATACATAACGTTATTATTAGTCATACACTACTTAATAAATAACTTTTAACCTTTTACTGGTTATGCAAGAGCAAAATTTGAGAACACGGTAATGAGGATAAGTATAGGATATAGTAAATAGTATACACATATTTGCCTAGCTACAATGGACGACTACAATCACTTTGTACCTGATTTTTGCTGAATTTGTGACTGGTTTTCCTTTGTATCTGGCTGCCACTTTTTCATAAGCGTTATACCCTCCACATTAATAGTATGACATCTCCTCTCACCCAGCGACGAAATTGGCTCAAAGCTTAAGCGGGTTTTCGTCTCAATTGACGAATGAAACTCATTCTGTCGAATGCTAATAAATACTTCTTCATTTTTAATGTGCCTTCGAAGTAGATTGTCCAGATCTGATGGGCTCAAACGACAAACAAGTGCCAAACAGTGACATGCGATCCTACAATCAGGAAGCACAAATAATTCAATAAATCAAATAATTATAACTCGTAAATCATGTGACGCCAAAGTCTTAATGGCGAATTTGTCCTCGTTCCGATATATCCAATTATCCAACATCGGCCATTTTCCAACATGGCGTCTTTTACGATAAATATGTATAAGTTTTTACGTATAGTCTCGATATATAAGTTCCTCATTGAGGTAAGCTTTTCTATCATCTCAAGAAGTAAAGTTGCATTCAACCAATACGAATAGTAATAATATAGTAAATTAGCGAAACGACAAACCATTGTAAGACGGGATTATTTTCCACCGTTTCGCTCTTTTGCGACTCTTGCAAAATATGCGTCAAACAACTCCAATCCCAGAGTGATCTGTATAAATCTGGATTTGTACAGAGCAGAACATAGGCAGTCCGGAGCACGTCAAGGTCGCTGATATTTGAGGACAATTTTTTGCTTTTTTTCGTGGGCGGCTGTTCCGTGACAGAGAAGCGGGCCAACAATGACGCAGTGTCCTTTGTCGTGAAAAACTCTTCCGCCCAGCTGATGATCTGTCGTGAGTTGTAGTTACGATTCACAATCAAACTGGACAAAGCGCATCCGACTTCCTCTATGCAAGCCGTGCTCCGCAAGCGATTCAGCAGGTCAACTAGCAGATCAGGAAACACCTCCTGAATGTGCTGGCTATGACCGTTGACAAGCAACTGTGCAGACAAACTTTCGACAAAAGATATTTTTTCCTGCAATTATTATAAAACAGAAAGTTGCGTACAACTATTTTAAGTTATGAGTATGACAGGTTTTGCCATCTAATGGACTTTACATAGACGACAGCGGAGCTTTTCTTTCCACCGTTACTTCTGCACAGATTACAGATAACTGTGCATTCAACTAAAATGATAGTTCGTGTCAAAAATAGCATACAGACATGAATTTTACCCAATATTAATTAAACATATTACTAAGAGATCTGTTGGTTTATTACCCTAAAGCGGTCTTCGTAAAGGGGTTACTCTAAGCTAATTTTCTATAAACCCCCAGAGCTCTATTCTGATTGATTAAATCGTTGAAACAACCAATTCTGCATGCGCAAAATACGTCCACTGATGGCCCTAATCTCTATCATGTAAAGAAAAATGTTGACCAAATACAAGCACGCGCTATTACGATTTAGAAATAGCCAATTCACTAGTCGATTGATTCAAATTAAATTGTCCATTAGCAACACGTCGGCCCCAACATCAATAAAAGTGGGCAAATTAGAGATATGAGTGGTAATCGAGCTACTTTGTAAAGAGGGTTTTGACTACATGTTATGTTCAATTAACAATAAAGAATAGTGTTACAAGTATTCTATATGTCTCGCCTGAACCTTTAATTTTTTTGCTTTAAATTTGTCTCTTAATGTAGATACATTTCAGTATAGCGGCCTTTCATAACACCCAACAACGGGAGGTAAACTCTTCATAGATTCCTCCGTTTGCTTTAAAAGCTACAAGAGAATAATCGGACTTACCATAGCGTAAAAAAACTGTAAAGGTTCTGTATGCTGTTATTAGTTCCTAAAATTCATTCATCTAGATAAATATCCGTCGCAATATGCTTATTCATGGCGGAGGTGGTGGAAACGTATCCTTTAAGAAGGATAAAGCGTTATGAATTGTGACTGCATTCTGATTTAAGACTCTAGCTCAGCGGTACACACGGTGTTTTTCATTGTACGTATATTGAACATCACGAAAGTGTTAGCTCAACCATATGGCTCTGAAAAGGAAGGAAAATAGGACGTACTCTAAATCAGTACACCTTTTGCATATTTATATATGCCAATTCTAGTTTGTTTGTCCTATGCTGTACCTTCGAGTATCGTGCTTCCACGGTTTTTCCACAGGCCCGGCATACCTCTTGTAAGGTTTCGAGCCTCGGCTGCAGCTCTTTCGATATCATCGCGCCACGTTATATAGGCATCTACGCTTTGCGAAAATTACACCGTAGATTTATTTTCTTTAAACGAGAACATACCACAGTCATGCGCATATAATACCGGATTCGCAATACACAGATTTCGGCACTCGCCGCACTAATCGAGTGATTCTTTAGCAGGAACCTATTGCCTCGTTCTTAATAACAACGTTCACAAGTAAATACGTACATCACAGCACTAGTATGCGCCGTGATCTAGCACGTGCGCGCTAAATTCTGACCAGCGCGAACGCCGCCCGCCTAAATTGAATTATGAAGAACATTCGACAGTCACATTCCCTGGCTATCTGTCATTAGGGTCCGAAAAGCAGTGAAGATGTAATTGAGCCAACAAAACGTCAAAATAGTTTATAAAAATTGGTCGTTTATCGTCGGACTAAATTTCACAATATACAGTTGGTCTTTTCTGGTGCACTTTAACTCACCGTCAAACAGAAGACGGTCTGCTTTCTATTATTGTCCAATTATATTCGACAAATAGCCAATGTTATTATGGTAGAGGGTTTTTGAGAAAGGAGGGGCGGAGTGGTATGACTGTAACGCGGGGGCAGATAAGCAGAGCATTCCAGTACGGCAGCAGTGGCGGCTCGAAATGTTCGGTTTTATCAGCTTAGCCAGCGGCTAACAGCAGCGGAAGATAACGACAGAATTGTTTAACAGGCGAAATTTTCCAGGACTAGTTGTAGCGTGAAGATTGCACCATATCGGTGGTACGAAGCAAGGACGCCGCGATTCATTGAGCAAGTATATTATGCCTTTACATGATATGTAATAGCTTTATATTCCAAATATTTAATGTCGAATTGTATCGACCGTAATTGAAATATATATGTATAGCAAAAGTGACTATGTGCTTGATAAAAACGGGGATCACTCTGAATATGTGACAGTAGTTCGGCTTTTTAGTGTCGAGGCTATATCGCGCAGTGTCAGCTGGCCAACAGGTGTATGTACCACCATAGGGATATTTGGAAGGACGCCACAATCCGAGTATTGAAAAGTATTTTTTGCTTCGGATTAATGACAAGGAGTGGACTATAACTAAACACATAGATCTGCCTATTAACTAAAGATTATTGTTGTGCAGAAGTTGAATTATCCAAAAGTAAATGTAAAAGAAAAATGTTACATAACACATTGCCTTTGTAACATCCTTTCCTTTTCTTGAGTTAGTAAAGCCTTAAAAGCGAGACGCCATCAAGAGATCAATCAAGAGGTTCAAGAGCGAGAGTTACGGCGATCTAATTGTGTCTTGGATAGATTCTGACGGTCGGAAATAAATAGCACCTTCGGGCATATTACGTCATGTCCTTCTTACCCTTTACCGCCGGTATAGCGTGTATTCCAATCCAGCTATCAGCAAAATTCCAGTAAACAGCCTAGCGAGCTCGAACTAAACGACAAATTATTTGAACTTTTATCAGTACTTTCTTGGGACACAACTCGGAACAATATAATCAAATGTGATAAAGTGTTATATCATTAAAAAAAACCGAATAGCTTAAGTTCTGTTTTGTTGCAATTGTTGGCTCCTACTGGATTATTTTTAACGTTTTATTTTGTATCATATATGTGATAAATGTACGTGTTAGTTCATATTAATTGAGTTAAAAACCTTAATGTTCACAAAACGAATTATCTGTATTCAAAGCATAAAATTTGCTGGGAGTGTCACACACGAGCCACAAGCAACAAGCTCTAATATCATTGAGGGGGCACCTAAGAAGAGCACAATAATTAATACCTACATCACGCTGATTTCATTACAGAGGCATACAATAATCAAAATGTTATTTCCATGTAATCCTTGCAGGTATTTCAGCGTAGCGGCAGTATGTTACGAAACATATCGCAGAGGTTTTGCTCTTCTTGGAAAAGGTTTGCAGGTCCAATATGAAGTGTGACCGTTGCGCATGCGATATATATGGGTGTCGCATTTGGCGATATCTGTTGGCTAGATCTATAGTCAGAGCTGCAAATATGCGGTTAGTATGTTTGTAATTGCATTTTCTCTTGCTATTTACAGAACAAGTGGTCTACATTAGGTAGAACCTCAGAATTACTCTTCTCTGTATCTAATTATTAGGTACTTTAAGATGTCTCCGGTAGAAATGAAATTATGGCATATAAGTGTGATCTGTAATTTGTTTAGTAGGTATCCATCTTTTGTCAAGATTGTTGAGGTGGGACCTCGTGACGGCCTGCAAAATGAAAAACGTTTGGTATCCAGCGACGTCAAGGTAGCCTTTATCGACAAACTTTCGAAAAGCGGACTTAAATGCATCGAAACTACTGCATTTGTTAGCCCAAAGTGGGTACCACAAATGAGCGACAACAAAGAAGTCTTCAAGGTACTAGAAACTTCATGTAACAATATTAACCAATAATAAAATTTCACGCTGAACCACTTTTTTTGCAATGGCCAATCGATCTCTTTAATAAGGTAAAACTAAGCGTCAGCTCATTTTATCAATTCATTAGAATGAAGTCTTAGACAACGATGTTAAAAAGCATTAATCAAAAAACAAAATAATGAGGCCCACAGTAAAACGTTAGATGCAAATTTTCAAATAAGTTGTGATAACCTATTTAACCAATACAATGAACTATTTATTTGAAGGCGATTCGAAAAGAACCGGGTGTCAGTTATCCAGTTCTGGTACCGAATACCAAAGGGCTTCAGTCCGCTCTTGAGGTAGGCCGAGTACTATAATACCAGTTTGTGCTGTCCATGCATTATTTATAATAATAATAATGTAAATATTTTTTTAAATACTATTTTTCTTAACGGTCACACCACTCTATGTACTCCTGACATAACTATTCGATGCATCACCTGTCATTAGCTTATATATCAAATGGATCTTCTGTCGGGTAATTCTGCAGTATTGAGATTTTAGGGTTTAGATGTATTCAGTAAGCTTGAACCAATGTTATATTCTTCATTATTTTTTATATAGAACTTTGTTGTTTATTCCAGTAAACCCATGTTTGATATGTCTTCATATCCTTTGTATTCGTTTTTCTTGCTCTACTATTCTTAGGTTGGTGTGAAAGAAATTGCTGCATTCGGAGCCGCGTCGGAGACCTTTTCTCAGAAGAATATAAATTGCTCGATTGCTGAGTCTCTCAAAAGGTTCGAGACCGTCATCGAGGAAGCCAAAAGGCATAAATTGAAGGTGTCTATTAATAGAGCTCTATCACTTTATACTGTAGTACTTTGCTGTAGTAGATGTTTAAGTTCACCAGTGTCAACAAGCATGCACTTTTTTGAATTTACTTGTTTGTTAGATCCGAGGTTACGTCAGTTGTGTCGTTGGGTGCCCTTACGAGGGCGAAATTAATCCAACAAAGGTTGCGGAAGTAGCAAAATATCTATTCGATATGGGCTGTTACGAAATTTCATTAGGGGACACTATCGGTGTGGGTACCCCAGGAACTACTGCCAGGATGCTCGAAGAAGTTACGAAGGTACTGTTCTTTTTTAAATAGACGATAGATAGTAGAATTTTATCATATCACAAGGGAAGGCAGAACGTCTAAAAAAACTATTGGATTCTTTTATCTTCAGAACCAGCTATTACTAAACAGCTAAATTGATTTTATAACTTCATGCAGATTAATCCGTAATATCCGAAGGAATTTTTTCTCACATTTTATAATAGGTGTTACCTCCAACGGTTCTAGCAATGCACTGCCATGATACATACGGTCAGGCTCTGGCTAACATTTTGACTGGATTGGAATTTGGCATTTCCACTATCGACTCGTCTGTTAGCGGTGAGTCAAACAGGTTATTACACTTTCACAAGGTCTGATTAGCTTTAGCTTAAATATAAAATCATATAGTCTTTCTGTTAGGGGTGAGCAACATAACGATCTTTTTACTAGATCACATATTATAGCAATTTTATATGTTTATACTTTTTTAGACTTTTTATTTAGCTATTGATTAGTATCACCAGTTAAAAAAAGCCATTTATATTTTCTTGTGGGTTCATCTGAACTCAAAATACCTTGATTTTTCGACACGATTTGGTTTTCTAGGGCTCGGCGGTTGCCCGTATGCCCGTGGGGCATCGGGAAATGTCGCTACTGAAGACGTGATTTACATGTTACATGGAATGGGTATTCAGACCGGAGTAGATCTCAATGCCATTATGGATGCAGGAAAATTCATTTGTGAGGCAACTGGCAAGGAATCTGGCAGCAAGGTTGCAAAAGCCTTGACAAAATGACAACTTACCTATGCATAATATAAACAAACATTCCGCATTCTTAATACGACAACAACAGATCTTCAAATAAGCTATTTCTAGTTTTTTATATATCGTCGTACATTAGGCGGTGCGCTTTTATTACACAGTGATCCAATTTCTATATTAATATTAAAAAAAAACTGCACTTCTATACTAAATTAAATACTAGTTTATTAAAAACGAAAAGCAGTTGGTTCAACGAATATTTCTGTGCGTATTTACTGATAAAAGAACTCATTACAGCCAAGAATAAATATATACATAGATATGTTTATATGGTTGTTGCAAGGCAAGCAAATCTATAAAATAGTTAAGAAAGTCGATGTGCGCTGGTTATACTTGTGGCAAATAAAATATCTTTACCAGCTGCTCATCCAGGTTTTTATTTTTTTATTGGGAAGAATCTCTAAGCAAGGCTGACAGACATACTGCGGGTTTTATCCGATATGAGATGAGCGAGCCGTATTTGTACCTGTTCGATAAAAGTAACGTGCAGCATATGCTGGAAAATGTCGGATGCAGGTATGTGGAAATCTTGTGCTACGAGTCAGGAGACTTTCAGCTCGAAGCTGTAAGATAGTTTAGGCCGATGGCCGACCAATAACAACAATCCCTCAAAAACAGGGGTGAAAAAAAGTCGGCAACTTTACTTGATTATCGCAGCATGATTTGGACACAAGATGAAGCGATTTAATTGTTTTTTTTACGGGTTGTTCATTACTTCCTTTATTGACGTTTCCTACGTAAGAATTGAAAGGTAACTGCTTGATTGTAACCGATTCTGAATTGCTGTCGAAAATATTTCACAAATGGGAAGAATATCGGTGATCAGAATGACAAAAAATAAATCGTCTTTTTAATTAAAAAGGGATGCAATGAATCATCGAAGACGAAACTCTACCAGCCTTAAGAAATCCACTCGAGCTAGGCCATTTATGTGAAAAAAAAATTGGTAAACAGGCGCATACTTTTCGTAATGGTGAGGAGGTGGGCTACTAATTACAAAATATGCTGAGTCACCATGACCTTCACACAACGGCCTCCCAACAGCCGAACGCTTAAAACTGAATAAAACCTAATGTAGCTTCACCAGGCTGTCGCCTCGTTCTGCGAGATGTGTTTATAAAGAACGAATTTATTGAGTGACTCATTCCAACATAATTGGATAAATTACCAAGAATTGAATCGATCCATATACATCAAAACGTTGAACAGCTTATCTTGCACAAAAAACGAGGTAAATAATGCTCTGAATGGAGGTTTCACATGCAAGCCATACGACGGAAAACTTCTCAGCCTAAATTGAGGCTACAAACAATAGTAAGTAGCTAATAAAATCTAAAAAAATATTACAAACTATGACCTGAAAAACGTAATTGTCGCGCTAAAGTGTTCGCGTACATCATAGTGTTAATCAAACATGTGCTATAGTATAGATGTTTTGGTTTATTTTTACGTGCTAAGATAAATATAAAACTACAATCGCTCGTTGTTACGTTATGAAATCAACATCAAATAAATCTTAATTTCGTGACGTTTCTAAACTTTAATTTGGTTATTTGAAATATTGATGTTATTTTTGTAAAATAGTTTTTATGCACACGAATTACCATAGTCACTTCGCTTTAGAACTAAATAACATGATTTAGTATTTTTCTATTACGTTTTCCTAGGAGAAAGAAAGAATGGGTCAATTTTGTAGCACTGCAGTCGGACGTCCCTATGTCAGTTCCCTGCTCCGCACTGAGAAGGCAATTTTGAATTTGGCGCTACCTGCTTTCCTCTCAGTTTTTAGCGACACATGCTTGTTCTCCTATTACAATACACGTGGATGGGGTCTAATCCATCGTATTCGCCGTTTTTCTGATATAATGAAAACTGTAAGTTTTGCATAGTTTCGTGATATTTACCCATGAATCGACTACGCTCCATCCAATCTTTGATTTTTTGTGCTCCAGTACATTATTTAACAGTGATATCGGATGAGTGTGTTTGTATGAAATGCGAAAATCTTAAGAAGATACGTACGGATAATCATTACTGTGCACATGAGACGAAAATTCAACGGATAGGATAATAACCGCATCTCACTGTTGCGATTGAAAAATCATCAAAATGACTGTAGAATCGGCCAATGATATCTTCAGTGGACATCGCGCTCTGGGGCTGGTTTGTAACTCGCTACCGTTCGCAATCACATTCCAAAAGAAGCGCGGTGAATACCTTATATTTACTGCTGTTGGAAGACACTTTCATTGTTATGGGGTACGTAGAAACTTAAACGACGATTTCTGCAAACTTGTGTTACTCTTAAAGAGAGAACAAAGAGACCGAATGGGAGAAAAAATTGGTAGAAGTTCAACTTAACACAACCATGACGGCTCATCGGCAAATACATTTGTGTTTTTTCACCAAACGATCTTGACGAATATGTGTGTATATATCTTTGTTTATCAAGATCGATAGATCGTATCTGTTGAGCTAGACATCTATGTTGGTAAATGCAGCATAGCACCATGTAAGAATCTACTTTTAATAGACTACGCATAAGGCGTTAACGATTCCCTACAATAATCAAGACCCAAACTTCTCGAATTAAGCAAAGGCTTAAGCTGTTTTTTCATTAATATGATCTTATAAAGCCAAACAATGTACTATGCTTTTTGTGTGCTTTGGCTTAACAATAAGTAGCGATTTCTATGTGCGTACTATCAACGGGCATGATCTAAAGCACTTAAAACGTAGTTCGTCTACGGATTTTGAGAATTTCGTTGACTCTGCTAATTATGTTGGTTTCAGGGTACCCGCTTAAATCTATTGTCCGTTTCCCCTGTACATAATGATGAACTCACGGCTATAGCATGCGACTCGCGCAGGGTTTATTCAGCTGCCGGTGGTAACATTTATTCGTGGAGACGAGGCATTGAAGTAAAGTATAGGGAACTTTTATTATCCTAAGTAAATTTTTAGAAAATCTATCAACGACAGATTTAATTCTCTAACCAGAAGACTGAACCTGCTTTATGCTTTTTATGTTTTTTTTTAAATAAACGTCTAGTTGATCCTATAATAGTTAGCTTAAAATCCGTAACAGTTAGCCATTTCATACTAGTAATACGAGTTTTGCAATATCGGTTATACCCATCTATCTGTAATCCATTGTATACGACATATGGCTATGAAAGATTCACCCGATTAGGAAGATCTTATTAGGTGGTTTTGCTGTTTCGTTTTGCCAACAGTTAGAGAACCTGCTGCTTATACTCACTTCAATGCATCTGCTAGATTTTTAAAGTTTTGGTTTATAATTAATGGTACGCCTTAACAAGATATCGATTTTATTATTGATTTTAGCTGAAACTAGCGTTCACAGGCGAACATTCGGGGCGAGTTAAGTTCTTACTGCCATTCAGTGACCATTTAATTTCCGCCGATGAAGGCGGTAAAGTTGTCATCTGGTATAAAGAAGATGCCACGGTATGTTCTTTTACAATTTGTAGATAATTAAAAGCGAACAAAATAATGAATATTTTACCAAAAACTCACCTTGTACCAAGTTACTGCTCAATGATTATATCCACTATATAAAATATAGTTTGCGTTATTTCCAACTATAAGCGGTACGTAAAACTCAAGTAGCTTTGATATGCACCTATAAAAGGAACACTTAAATAAAAGTAATGCTATTAACAGATTTCTATACAATAAACATATTAATTTCAAGTATACTTTACTACCGAGTACTTAAGTGAGAAGACACAAGCACATGATTAATGGGTCGCGATATTATGGCCGCTTCCGCTTGTGAATTTGCAATAGGTTTACACCACGATTGATTTGTCGTCTTTTGAGGGTCTCACGGCGCTGGTACATCCCAATACATATATCAACAAGATTCTGTTTGCTTCAGCTAAAGGACGGATGCAGCTTTGGAATATTGCCTCAAATAAAGTTATATATGAATTCACGAAGTTTATTGGTAAGTGATCAGTATTAAGCTATACGGTGTTCCTCCTATAATTATGTACTTTTTTGGTAGACGAGTTTAGAAACGTTTTTCTTCGACACCACTCATTATAGGAACGGGCGTTGCAACCGTGCGATTTAATTAGAGACAGATTGTATTTAACGGTGCACAACTTCAGTGTTCAATGATATAGACTTGCTTTATAATGGTTATGTATAATAGGACCCAAAATATTTTATATATTTTGAATCCTATTATACATAACCATCATAAAGCAAGTCTATTATTTTTCACTATGTTTCAGTTATTTTATATAAGTTACTGTATATCGTCAGATATCTCTTAGTAACCTCGATTTACCATCAACTAAGCGTGTATATACGGTGCCTAATTCAAAATAGGTGAACAGATTACATGCATTGAGCAGTCACCGGCCATAGATGTCGTTGCTGTGGGACTTGCGTCGGGTCGAGTAATCCTGCACAATCTGAGGCTCGATGAACACCTTATAGAATTCACGCAAGATTGGGGAGCCATCACAGCGATCTCATTCAGGTATGCCCATTCAACTCTTTATCATTGACTTGACTGTAATACTGCAGCACTTTATTGGAATGGGCAGCGGTAGCGTGTCCTTGTGCAATATATCATTTTTGCAAATGGCTTACGTCTCTGTGTTTGTCTTGTGTAGTTCCACTCCAGTTCAGCAATTAAGAGCTGAGTGATTATATCATGACTTTGGTTACGTATATAAAATACATAGGCCCTATTTAAGTAAAAACTTTATCTCTAGTAAGGTACAATACAAATAAAATATTAACTCTCTCTACTCGCACAAATTTTACAGTACTTATGTACAGTTCGCTAATCTAATTCCACCAAACGCTTAGCTTTACAAACCTCCGAGTCATCGAAGTGAATACAGTGTAAAACGTCATATGGCTTTCTATTTTTAATGCTGATATTTTAAAGGTCGCTGTACGATATCTAACGTTCGTTTCAGCTATGTGGGTAAAAGGTGTTTATTTCTATTTACTTAAATGTTTTTTTTTTTTTTTGTAAAAGGACAAATGGACCGGCGCATATGGCCACTGCTTCACCATCGGGACAGTTAGTTCTATGGGATCTCGAAGAACAAAAACTTCACTCGCAGTTACCCGAAGCTCATGGGGGTCGTGTTAGCAAGTTACATTTTCTCGTACACGAGCCCCTCCTTATCTCTGGTGGGGCAGACAATGCTCTTAAAATGTGGATATTTGACATGTCCGATGGCGGGGGGCGACTACTTAAAGTGCGGGAGGTAAGCATACGACTAGCCGAGAACGTGCCGAAACGACGTTACACAAGAGTAAATATACTTTCGATTAATTTTCATTATTTCAGTGAACTAAAAATTCATAATTTAGATATAACTTGTCAGAATTATTATAGCCGTTACTAACTATTGTGAATTCTACAGGGAAACGCTCATCCACCGCGTCGTCTTCGTTTTTACGACTCTGCGGGAAAACAAATTCTCTCCGGAGGGGGCGATGCAACCCTTAAATCGTTCTCCACCATTCATGATGCTTATAATCGAAATTTCGGTAGAGCTACTTATAACAAAAGATCGCTGAAGCGGGCAAAGACCCATGAACACAAAGAGGTTTGCAAAAAAATGTTATGTTTGTATGGATTTGAGGGGAAACCCGTTGCTTTCATTACAGAGGCAGATGTAGAAAGTTACTGGAATAACTGATATACATGCACGTGATATATTTCTCGATAATTTCTTTTATGTACGAATTTTAGCTATTTATAAGCACGTGTAACTATCCTGGTGTTATCTTTGTTTGGCAGGCGCTTACATTTCCTCCCGTAACGGAAATTGCTTCTGAAGTGACTCGCGAGAAGCAGTGGGACTCCGTGGTAACAGTACATGACCGAATGCGTCTAGTCCAGACGTGGTCAGCAGACAAGGGTACACTTGGTCAACATAAACTGCTCCATGAACGGTACTGCATTTGGTTTCTCCCATATTAACTTGTTTTTGTTTTGATATTTTCATTATCTGCTTATTTTCGCAAGAAAAATTTTATTGGCTCTAATGTTTCCGCAGGTTTTTAAAAGATCGACGCTTTCATTCTGCAGTCGCTACGTGCGTTGCAATGACGTTCTGTGGCAATTTTGCTCTCGTGGGGTATAGTTCAGGTCATATAGATCGTTTCAATGTGCAGAGTGGACAACATCGTGAGGAGTATGGACCACGCGGCCTAGCACACCACGGGCAGGTTTGTCCTAGATATTGTTGGTGTAATGTTGATGCAAACAACGCTTACAGTATATATATATATTTATGCGCAAAAATTTAGGCAAACAAAGCAAACTGATTTGCTTCTATGCAGCGGTGAAAATTGTTTCTTATTTTGGTGCATAGCTAGCTTTACCTCATATGGAGATATGTTTCTCTCTTAACGTGTGTTTGTTTATTGACCGCCGTTGCAGGTTCGTTTTGTCGCGTCAGATGCGCTAAATCAATTTGTGATCTCTGCGGGTGTGGATGCTGTTGTAAATTTTTGGAAATTTAAAAAGCTCATTACGAAACCCGTTGCTTCGATTCTGCTTGATGTTGCCTGTTCTATGGGCGTGCTTCACAGGTAAACGAATAAATCACACCGTATCTAATAGATATCAAAGAAAGCGCTACAAATTACAATCTTGTCTTGCCTCATACTTCCACTTGTTTGCGCAGAATTTGCATAAATTTAGTCTTTTACAAGACAGTTCTTGTGCAGCTTCGAAAACTATTATGTTATTAATTTTATTCGACTTCTACACAGCTTAGTGAAAACATGTTGAAATAGCAATGAAGTAACGGATTTTTCTAATGGGTTTTGGTCGTAGGGAAAGTGGTATGCTAGCTTTAGCATTGGACGATTTTTCGGCCGTTATTGTGGATTTATCGGTAAAGCGATTAGTCCGAAAGTTCTCTACTGTTCGAGCGCCAGTGTCGGATCTCGCTTTCAGCCCAGATGGGCGTTGGTTAATCGGCGCTTCGTTTGATGCCGTTGTGCGCACCTGGGACTTACCAACAGGTGAGCAACTTCCACAGGGAAATGTTTACGTTAAACTAGGTTACTGAAGTACCGATTGATAAATTTCAGTGGCTCGATTTGTTTTGGCATAGCCAAAGCTAGGTATCTAATCCGTTTAGTGTCAGTTGTATTTCTTGTATCAATGTTACCTATTCTTTACAATAAGTAATATCATAAACCTTTAATCGATCCAGTAAGTGCCTATGAACCAATTATGTATCGCTGCAAGTATTTGAAATCGACAGATTAAATATTGCCATTTGGACACTTCAGCTATCTCTTAGAGCAGTAGCATTTAGTTAAATGACACACTGTTCAGTACACCGACTTTTGATTAATTGCACCGCCATTAACATATTCATTTTAGGAACTTTGATATCTGCATTTCGAACACCGTCCCCCGTTATTTCGTTATGTTTCTCGCCTGTCGGCGATTTCTTGGCCACAGCTCTGGCCGATAACGTAGGAATCTATCTCTGGGCCAACACAACACTGTACGATGCCATTAAGATGCGCCCTCTTCGACCGGATTTTATCCCCAAAGAACAGGCAAAGCTACCTTCGGTCCGAGTGGATAAGGCGATCGAGGATGAGGTACGGTTTTGCTTTCAAAACTATAGACGGATAACTTCTCTTCGTTTATTTTTGGAGTGATCTAATTGCTCGAGTAACACGTTTTTTAACATTAAGTTCCGGAAATGTGCGATGTTGAAGAGGCCGCTGCTTTTTCTGCTTGTTGGTCATTAAAAGTGAAACAATGTGCAGTTGCGTAATTTTTTAACACGAATATTCGCTCTATCGTATACTTTTTGCGTGTTTGATCTCTCAATATATCTTCGATTTATTTCAGAATGATGAAGATGAACCTGATGAGAACGTAGTTAGTGACGATGAAATGGTAATGACGCTCGATGAAACAGCAACGGAAGTGCGTGGAGCTAAGGAGAACGCCGATCTGATCCTTCTTAGCGACCATCCAGTGTCTCGATGGGCTAATCTGCTTTCAATGGATGTCATTCGCCAGAGGAACAAGCCACGCGAGCCGCCCAACAAACCACAAGCTGCTCCATTCTTCTTACCAACGATTCAAGGTCTCGAATTTAAATTTGACCTTGACAAAGGCAATAACGCAGAGGTACGTGACTCGCACAACAAAGCATCGATTTACAGTCATTGTAAAAGTACTCGCGGCGTGATGTAGATATAACCGCTAACGGGCTATTTTTTTAGACTAATTGAATAAAATATACCATTTGTAATTTATGGTACTTCGTTAAGACTTGCAGACTAATATTTTATAGTACTTTACTTTCTCGCCTGGCACAGGATCAGTCGAAGGTGATCACCACACAGGCAACTACGACATACTCAGCGTTTGCAAACCTGCTTTTGCGTTGTGCAGAAACAGAAAGTTGTAAGTTTGTGCAATCGTGCTTTTAGACTATACCAACGCAAGGACATTTTGCAGGCATGTGTGTGGGTATATTTATGAAAATAATAGCTTATACGTTACTGGGTATTTTTATTCTTGGTCCTGCTTAAAATAAGTTTAATTGGATCTGTAGCTTCCAGGACCACTCTTGGAAGTCATCTGTTGGCTTCATGTATTACCTTAAATGTTCCACAGTGTTTTTTTAAACTATTTTTCCACAGTTCAAAGAGTTATGGCTTAACCTTGGCTTAAGATTGCTTTGGAGTAATTGTAGAACAATATAGCAGGCTTTTAAACGAACGTTGAATTTAATGCTTCAGATGCTTCAGTGATGGAGAAACTGAAGCAATTAGGTCCGTCAGCTATTGAAATGGAAGTGCGCTTGTTGACACCAGATAATGGAGGTTCGATTGAGTTAATGGCGGCGTTTGTCGACGCCATGGGAGCTGCGCTGCATAGAAGAAAAGACTTCGAGCTAGTGAACGCGTATCTCGCACTTTTCATGAAGTTGCACGGCAATTCTGTTGTTGATGAAGACGGTACGTACCACACATTTAAGCTTATATATTTGGTATTGCTTGTAGTATTGTCATTTTACTCGATAGCGCCTAAGACCACGATTGACATTATAAAAAAAAAAGGTATAAAAGAAACTACAATACGTAAAAATTTGGTGAGATTTAGGCTCTATTTGGCTAATTACAATCATTGTAAACTACGAAGTCAACGGTATAATGCTACTTTTGTTTAGTACTAATGTAAAAACGATAAATAGTCGCTATAAGAATACTTTTGTGTGTTTTTGCTTTACCTCTATTACGTTTCCTTAATTTCAGAAATTTGCGAACGTCTGCAACACGTCAGTGTCGTTCAGGAAGAGTCGTGGAAGGCCGTTAGCAAACTTTTCTCTCAGAATCTCTGTATTGTCAACTACCTACGTAGCGCTGTACTTTAACAATTCTACTCATGTTACACATACCCACGTTTACTGATAAGATTTCCGTGTTGCTAGACACGGATAACACGTGAACATGTTAGTTTTAGTTAGCAAGCATTCTTGGTGTAATGACTAAATTAACGAGTATGTGTATTTGTGTGACATACAACTAGCGAAAGAAGCCATTGTTGTAGTTCTTGAGCGCTGTACAATAAGAAAACCAATTATATATTAGAGTAGATGCTGAAGCCCAGTTTGAAACGTAAAAAGTGGACTAAAATGCGTGAGAGACAGGTATGTAAAATGTGTTGTTTGAAATAAAAAAATATATATAGGTTACTTCCTTAACAATAATTCCTTTTTATTAGCGCTTGGTTCATTATATGTAAAATGTTTACGAACAAATGTATACGATTAAAGAAAAAACAAGCGTATATAAGCTGTACAACCGATGCCAAACATTTTTTTATATTTTAACGCAAGTTAAATTAGATGTGTTTTTAGTTACTTTTTCTATCACTACTGAGATGCCTAGGAATTATTCTTGTACCTATACTTTGAATTTTTTTCTAATAGCAGGTAACTACCAAACGTATCTTAACCGAGTCTTTTAGCCAGAGAACAAAAGAATATATTGGCATTAGTACGATACCTATCAAAGACGAGAAGCCGGTACCCGGGTACATGTATAAATTTTGCCGAACACCATATAATGACTGTACAATAATGCTTCACCACATTATCATTTGCTAAAATATTAAAATATTTTTCAAACCTCTTTAAAAAAATTCTCATGATTTGGTGGACGAAACCTTCAACGAAGTTGCCATTGAAATTATACGTAAAGATGATGAGAAAAAGAGTATACAGGTATACGCTTCTGAATCTGGTGTTTTAGAGACCTGCAATAATGCCAAATTAATTAAGGTCATGCATCGTACAATAAATCCATTAGGCGTCTCGTGTCGGGCCATCGGATTAACAGGTTAAGGGGTTTTTTGTTTATCGCTCAACAGCTTGTACCATAAAAATTCTAGGCAGGTCAACAGTAAACATAGCGTAACTTTTTCCAAATTGAGAACATTTTATAAAAGTAAGTTATGTACAAAAGAACTGTATTTTCTCATGATGAACTCAAAACAACATTGAGCACTCTAATAATGCGCTAGCGGGCGATTTGATTTTCTAAATTCGGTATGCCCACCCAAACTGGGTGTAGGTTGACGATAAAGTCACACAAGGCTACCCCAACCGTGACTGTGGATAACAGGATTAACGAAAGTGACACCGAATTTTTAATGCAGTGTTTATTATCGAAATTAAGTATGTGCTCTTTTCCGTGATTGGGTTATTTGCTTTTTCAAAGCACCTGAGGTTTCAAGGGCCGAAGATTAGTACAGCTGATCGAGGGTTGATTAATGCCTCCACGCGAAAAGAGTGTGCAATGTATAGTTGGATTGAGCACACCTATTATATTGCATCGTAAACTTGAATTAAGGCATTTTTATATGCGCACATATCTTCGAGATCTTTAAGTCCCTGTGCGCCGCGGAAACGACTGAGTCTTGCATTGTAAATTCAGCAGCGATGAAGGCAACAGCCTTGTTCCGTTATTTCTAATGCTACTACGGATTTTCGCCAGCAATAGACCAGCCTTCCCAGCAAACGACGGCCGGCCACGGCTTCAGTATGATCGCTAGCCACTAGGAAAGTTTATAACCAGGCGGGCACCTTGGCCTGGTTTGGTCGTTATCCTGTCTTCCGAACGGACGGAGAATCGGTTTGGCCTTTGGGGCCTATAAGGTGGACATGTACGCTGCGACAGACTTGCAGTCTGCCATTTTACCTCTCTAGGGGCTTCGTACGATGGGAAAAAAGGAAAGACCCTGACCCGATTCTTACGGACACCTTCGAGAAACTGCAACAGTGAGTAAGGCGACTTTATACAGCGGAGCTGTAACTTCAAGGTTTCCTGTCATCGTCGGGTGGTTACCGTAAGTCACCGTAAAGGGTTCAGAAGGAGCTATGTACTTGGGCTGGAAGTGTGCTGAATGTAAAGCTAGGAGATGCTAGGAATCCGCGGGCTTCCTACATGAAGGAATCGAACAGAATCAGGGATTGAGAAATGTCCGATTCAGGTTACGATTTCGGGCGATGAGGCACATTGACGACTATTGCATTTACTAATGATGCTACGTAAAGATCGAGATAACAGAAATAACGTAACGGTTAGAGTGTATGTACGTAGAATAGAAACAGGCGTAAGGAAACGGATTAAAGAAGCGTGAAGGTACGTTGTATCGAGGAGAACTAAGTTATAAATCAGTTAGGTGCAACGAAAGTTTGAGGTATCAATAGAGCAGGCAGTTTTTTGTACGCACTCAAAATTCAGTTGAAAATGTTTTGTTTTTCTGAAATAACGAGGTTTTTAATTTTTTTTAGGCCTGCTCAAATGTTTCAACGTGAAAATCTAGAATCAGTTTATTAAAGAGAAATAACTAGGCACCCTCATCATTACATTTATAATTTGCATAAAAAGGTTACTACCTTGAATGTCTTGCTTAGAATCGTCAGTAAGACGTTTGAAACGGCTTCATGTTGTTGAAAGGCTAATACTTGTAATTTCAAAAATACAAATACTATAAGGAATTTCTTTGCAAAAATAGTTTTACTCATGTTTGTCGATTGGCCTTTGGCCAATGACTTGGGCAGAGTCGAAGCTTAAGCCATTCAAATGACATCTGTGCCTATCAGTCAACGTGTATTAGGGGCAATTTCTTTCGTTCCCAGAATAACAACTGAGATTCATATAACCTCTAAAAAGGTTAGACTGCAAACGATTTTGTTCGTTGTTTGCTATTCTATTTTCCATTCTGGTAGCCAACACAATATGGTGCCCTCTGCGACGTATCTTTGGAAAACTGTTATTGGTAGGTTGCTTCAGTATCGGTTCTTGTTTAATATGGTTGAGGCTGCAGTGCTGTAGATCGTTATTAAGATACACGTCTTATAATAAACACAACCGTGTTTCATTCAAAAATGTTTTCAACCTTGTTTGATCCTTTCTGTTTGCAAACTGTTATTTATTTTTTCTACATTATTGTTTGTCGTTTTAGTAAGACGAGTAAAACTTAAATACAAATCAACTATCATAAATTCTCAAAGCTAGAAAAGCCCATAAATATTTTCATCGAGTTGGGTGGTGTCAAGGATTAGCTAGGATCTATGCCCTGTTATAAAATTTCGTCTAGCTAGTTCGCCGAAAGGACAAGAAAGAAATTAAATTCGGAATGTATCCCTAAAAAATGATGCTATTATCCCACACAGCAAGTTTTGCCCACCGGGTGTAAAATACACCTTTTGTTTTCTAAATAGAACCGTGGCACTCATGAATATTGAAACTTAGTAACGATATACTAGTGTACATGAAGGACGGGAATTTTAATCTTCGCACAGTGGTTATTCTACGACAGTAAAGGGGCGAAATAACGATAAGCGATAAAAGTGTATATAATGCAGATAATAATGATAATCGTCATAAACTTGTGGGTTACGGTGACCATATTGAATTAACCAGTAGCTGGGTTCATAAATTTTAATTAATTTTACAGGACACTTTTTGGAAGAATTGACTCGGCCGCTATTTTTCGGATAACACATTTGTTTATAATACTCATACTTCGCTGACAAATTCATTGTCAATAAAAATCAACTCAAATTCGTCTTTATAATAAGAGGCAAGTCATTAATGCATTTACAGCATTCTAGCAGAATAGGCGATAGAAATAATAAGAGTAGGAATAAATAATAATAAATAGTGTAACAAAATTAATAAATCTTTTGCTTGCGATATCGTTAATTTATAAAATGAAGTAATGTGTTTACGCACCGTTTTTGAAATTAAAAGTATCTACACGATTTGTGTATAATACATAAATAATCTAATTGCAAAATAAGCCACCCCTTTGCCTAAATAATAAACATTTGCTTATTTAGACTTTACTTCTATTTTCTGTAGGGACAACGAACCTCCTAGTAACTTCAGGCCGATCCTAAAATTGTTTGCATAAGGTGCACATAAGAAGAGTGTTTTTGGTTTTATTTTCACGGGAAGTTTTAGGCTATTCGGTGATCATAGTTGCATACAGAATTCACTAGAACTGGGACGTCGGCCTTCGCTCTAACTCTTGACTCCTGTTCCGTAGTCAGCCGAACATCCGTTGATCGAGACATTTATAAACCATTCTTCGTTCCTACATATGCTTATACAGCTCGTGACACCGTTCGCTTTCTTTGACGAACTGCTCTTAATTCTCTTTTTGTAACGCGAACAGAAGCACCTTGTAAGAAATAAGGCAAAATTCACACATGTACTAGTTTGCTATCAACACCTTATTTTGAGATATGGCCATTACGCGTGAACTAGAGTTTCGACGAACCTGAAAGTTAGATTACTATTTAATCGCTCCGAACAGTTAATTTTCATGTAATAAACTACTTTGGTCTTATTTCTGTACTTTTAGGTTAGGGCATAAACAATAGTCACCTTTTATCTGACAAGAAACGCCGTATTTCACTCGAATTCCAAAAAATTGATTTGTTTTTTTGCCCTTACTTTCTGTGTTAACCAATTACAATTTGTCATGTAAGGAAGGCTTGGTGTTGAAGAGAACTGTTCACGCGGATTCTTTTAGGTTTTCTAAATTGTCTAGCCCATCATTAGGAGTTCGGTCGCCAGTGGTGAAAAATGTTTGGGGAATATGATTGATGTAAAAATGTTCTATTGAAGTTCTTTTAGAGTGACTTTAACAACCTTTGCCATATCTAGTCTTTCACTATTGTGAAGAAAAAATATAATTCCTTACTATGTTGTTTTTTGATATTTTTTATGTTAGATAACCATATTCCCTTGCTGCGACTCGATTTTTTTGATCGCATTGTTCTTTTCAAGCATTTCGCACTGTATAAGACTTTTTTTTTTTACTTACACCACCAAAAGCAAATCGTGGTCTTTTCGGAATGAAGATATAGATTAATGCTGGACGTAGGTTAGTCTCTCGGAGCTATCTTGTATACTTTATATCCACCTGGAGGCATCTATTTTTATCAGTCGACAGCTCTGTGCAGGAATATGTTATTAAAACTGAGTGCACTCCGGCAAGGTATATTTAAAGTTGATGAAAAGCTGTATCCTTTTGTGGGGTTTACCCAATTCATAACTACCCCAAGCCTCTGATTTTTGATAAAATTTCGTACATTCACGATGCATGACAACAGTGTGATATTTAAATATTTTTTTGCGCTAGTTTACGAGTTAGTAACGAGGTCCCCTCAAAT